AAAATTAGTGAAGTTCAGATGTAACTATGGAGAGTGGAAGCAGGAGGGCAGATGGGTTTTGTTTCAGAGGCCCAAAATGTATCAGCATCACAGTCGAAATTTTGAAAGGTTCAAAAGGGAGGGAGAAATGGAACAAATACAAAGCAGGAGACATTGAAAAAGTGAGGCAGGTGGTATGTTACATACGCTCAACAAGGCCGCCAGGTTTAATTTCTCTGTTTCTTGTGGTCATCACCTGTAGAAGCATTAACTCAAGAGTGCAGTAGTCACAGCCCTGTACCAGCAACATTGAAGGGTCTTGAGCCCGTCCCCCTCCCCGGCTGGCCCAAGGGGCAGCACCCCAGGCACTAAGCGCTGGGCCTAGACCCCTGGAAACACTGTCTTTCCAGGTAGGCAACAGAAAGGCTGCCATTCGGGTTTTCTATTCCATGGCAGAGTGGCCAGGAAAGGACAGCAAGGCAGTCCAGGCAAAGAAGGATGAGGTGCTTCTTTTAGGAGCACTGCCACCCACACAAGAGAGAAAAAGCCCAAGTGTGGGGAGCCTCTTGTTTAGGGCAGAGACGCCTATGGGGCCACCTGGCCAAGGAGTCTAGCTGCTGGGCCCATGCTCAGGTGGGCTTGTGAGCTGCTGAAGACCGTGCTCACAGGCCCACCCAACCACCTGGCTACATGCCACACAGTTGAGAGCTTCCTCTTTGATTGGCACTGAATTCAATTCATGTACAGGCAGCTGACCCCCGTAATTTTACTGGGCTTCGAGAGAACAGAAGAGCTCACCCACCTTCCTGTATCAACAGTGTGGTGATACCACAGCTGTCAGAGTTGGCATTAACACACTGGCACTCCTTGTGCCACCCACCAGTGTGGCTCGGAAGCAACTGGAAACATTTCCCCACTCAAGATCGGGCAAGACTGCAGGGAGTGAGCTCGGATTTTGTGTCAAAACACATTGGGAGCACGTCAACCAGAAGGTTGTCAGGAAAGGGTTTCTGCACAACTGTTGTGTACAAAATGGGAAGCAGTTTCGTGGCCTTCCCCCGGCAGCACTCATGCCCGCCTTGAGCAGCTACATCAGATGAGAAATGGGGCCAACATTGGTAAGAACAGCAGCAGTGGCAGCAGTAGAAAGACCACTGACCCTCACCCCCCACCCCCAAATGCACTTCCAGGCCTCAGTTCCAGTGAAACAATCCTACTGCGGTCACCTTATTTGCAAATGCAGGCAGCCTGAAAACAGGTCAGCAAGACCCCCGTGAGAGGCTCTTCCCAAAAGGGATTTCCCCGAGTTTGGAATCAGAAGCAAGCCCCAAAAAGAAACCTCATCTGCATTACAACACAAGTAGGATGTTTCCAGAGAATGAGGCCTGTCACCTCATCATCCATGCAATCCCCGTAACACAGGCTGAGCATTTTTTACAAACCAAAATGAGAGGATTTGGTAAAAAGTAAGGAGATATTAAAACAGCAGTTTCCACAAAAGGGACCCACAATTTCTGGTTTTTAGAGCACAATTCTACCCCACCCCGTTCACTTGACACAAAGATTTAACTCACAGAGCAGCAAAACCCATCAGAACAAGCCACCCCCCACCCACCCACCCCTTGTGCTGAAGGCAAGCAGTCCCAGAGCCCAAGGCCGAGTGTCCAGATGCAGGGCTGCTTCTAATATAATAAGAGAAGCATAGAGGAGGCAGAAGCAATAATCATGAGGAGCACTTTTAGGCTTTGCTTTTAGTTTGTTTGGGTGTTTTTGCCACTGTCTGGTACTTGGCCCACTTGCCTGGGCCAATACTTATGCTTTTCCAGGGATGGATGCCAACTGTTGAGTGAGAGGAAGGCGTTTCAAGACTTTCAGCATATGGCCATCTCAAGAAACCATTCTGCATTTCAATATGGCAGAAAGATACAAAGTGGTGCAAAGGCCCTGCCCTGTCTTCCTTCTGGGCTTTGGCTGCTGCAGATACCAGACCGAGCGCATAGAAAGGCGGGCTGTGAGGAGGCAGCAGAGAGAATGCTCCCTGGAGTGGCACCAAGTGGCACCGAGACCAACACAGGGCTGCATTCCACCTCACCATGGGTTTACTGGACATGGAATTGCAGCATGACTATTGTGTTTAGGGTCAAGGAAGGTGGCCATTCTCAGGACTATTAACTGCTTAGATGGGCATCTGCCAGTTAGGCTTTGACTGGCCACGAGAAAACCAACAACAGCATCTGAAGTGCCTAGTTCTGCCCCTGGCAGTATAGATTATTATGAAAAGAGCCCAACACATATCATGGCCTGATATCTGCAGCAGTGGCAGCAGCTCCGCCTGCACAGCCGAGGGGAGCCCTCCTACTAAGGGAGGGTAATGAGCAAGGCCTTCCCTGGGCAGGAACAGCGCTGGCGGCCCCTCCTTGGAGCTGCGTGCCCCCCGCCTGCTCCCATTGGGCCCTGCTGGAGGTTTGCGGCACAAGCCCCCCGCCGTGCCGGTGTGGGGCGGCCCCCCTGCCCCCAGGAACCTCTGGAGCGCCACTCGGCCGGCATGCAGGAGAGAGACGGGGAAGGAAGGAAGGCGCCTGGGCCTGCTCCGGAATGAGGCAACGCAGCACAGAGTTAAAACAGTTTGCTTCACAAAGAAGTGGTGGAAATCTGGGTGCATGGATTCATTTACCTTTGCGAGACCATTCTGTGAGAAGAGTGCACAAGAGAGACAGAGTCTCTTTATCATCAACTTTTGCTTAGCAACCTGGAATTTAAATGGTGGATTGAGAAAGAATTGGCAGAAAGCAAGCAGCAACAAAAAACCATTTGTGGGCGTGGATGTTTTCCCCCTTAGTAGCCAAGGCCTAGCTTTTATGCAGGGTGAGACTGCGATCTGGGAGGCAGATGGGAGCCGGCCCCCTCCCCGCCGCCGCTCAGGGCCATGGCTGGACGCGGAGCCCATGACGGGAAAGCAGCTGCCTACGCCCCATGAGCCTCCGGTTCTGCCCCAGGGAAGCAAGGGAATAGGACAAGGAATACAGGCAACAATCTAGTGTGGAATGGAGCTTACAGTTTGATCCTTGCACCTACCCGGCAGAAGCCTTAGCTGCACCTTGAAGTTGCAGTTTTGACACTCATTGTATTATTTTTGAACCTTCTTCGTTAGAACCCCTTTGCCTGTAAATTGGTCAGACGGTAAGACAAGCGTTTTTGTGTATTCGCTTTGGTTTCATTTGCATTGCACTGAGACAAAGAAAGCAGCACATTGGCTGGCCCTGGGCACCCACCTCCTCGCCACGGACCACTTCCAATAACAGTCCATGGAAAACAAAAAGCACCCCCAAGTTTAGGAAACTGTAAGAACCACGTGTGGACCGTCTCACATGACAGTCTGCAAGCAGATTTCACAGTTTCTCTCTGTTCAGGAAATACATGGCGAAAAGGCCTAGCAATGCAGGAATAAATGACAGATGCTGGTCTTTGAGACAGACACGAGGCGGAAATCAAGCCAGAAATCTGAATATAATTTAACTAGGCAGGCCAAAATCCTTCAAAGACTTGGACCTTTAAACAAAGTCCAGTTCCAGAAGTTGGTACGATGGACCAAATTGTGAGAAAAATCCACTTTAAGAGGGCCAGTGATAAAACCCTACAGTACCAACATGGCGGTGAGCCTCCAGACTACGCTGAAGGATACACGGGATACTGCAGCCACATGGCCACAGCTTGACTATATGCACGTTTCATTGCCACTTGCATAACACCCAAGAAACCGCTGTGGCACATGGTGCTTCTGGCACAATGACTCCAAATCTCTCTTTTCAAAAGCAGCTCAATTTGTACTTGAGTCTTTTTCTAGTTAACTATCTTTATCTGAAGCAGAGGAAGCATCTTCACACCTTGTTATGCTCCCTACTCAGGACCCATTTCTTTAGAATTCTTGATTTAATTGGGATTCTCTTCCATTCAATTGTTGGAATAATTTTTAATCTGAAATTACCGAACCAGAAAAATGGGAGATGGCGAGAAGAGAACCAGATCTATGGATTTATGAATTGGCGAACGTTGACCACAAGATGATTTTATTGCTGCTATGGTATTAATTTGATTGTTTTAAGTATTTATAATTGTTGTTGTTATATTGTATTTTGTGAATTGTTAGGCATTGAATTGTGCCTTTTGTAAGCCGCCCTGAGTCCCCCCTAGGGGGTTGAGAAGGGCAGGGTAGAAGCGCTCGAAATATATATATAATATATAATATATATCAGATCCGCCACCTTGAGCCGACTCCAATTTACATAGAAAAGGACCTCAAAGCAGCGAAGGCTGTCTCTCTCCAAGACCAGTTCTTTAAGCACCTTAGGGCACTGAATTAAAAGCTCCCAGTTTTCCCAGCAACTGATGCTAAGGGTTTAGCAACCTGAAGGCACCCTTTCCCATGTTCATAAAGCTGTTGGTTTCATGCAATACACCCGGGACAATTTTTTTTCTGATTTAGTTCTCTATCATCATGGGCGAGTTAGAAAATTCACCATTGTGGTCATTTGAAAATAGGAACCATAGAAACCAGTCAAATCAACTAGGAATAGAAGATAACTTAGCCCCAAAGAGTGGGACTAAAATCCCCATACTCCCAGTGGACTGGAGCCCTGTGGTGTCCAGCTGCACCTAACAATGCAAGCCCGCCACCACGTTCCCTGGCCTGCCACTGGAGCCTTTCCTGGCAGCGATGTGCACCGGGCTGCCACCTCCTCCACCCCCACCCCCCACTTTGGCTCCAGTCACCCTTAGGACTCCATTCCCTTAACAGAGACCCAAGATGCTCATGGCATATTATTTGGAAGGACTCGAGGGAGCCCTAAGAGCACACAGCACGGGCCAGGCAGACACTTACCACAAGTCACTTTGGTTGGAGTTTGGACCTCCTGCTTGGGAGCAGAAGGCCCTTTGGCTCCCCGACGCCTGCGGGGAGTAGCAGACTTTGCCCGGCCTCTGCTGACTCGTTTCCTTTTGCTGGAACTGGAGCCTAGAGGAAACAGAAGAAGGGAGACTGGGAGTTTCTTGGGGCATCAGAACCCAGTGATTGCAGCTCACGTTCCCTTGAGCTGTGGTCCCTGGCTGGCCCCATGGCGCTCAACGCAGAAGACGTCCCCTTCACAAACAGACACAAGAACCCAAACAGGCTGCTTGTGGGGCTTCACAGAAAGGGACTTCTGGGTAGAGAAGGGGAAAAGGAAGACGGAAAAGGGACAAAAGCATGCCGCTCCTTTCCTGGGCGGCCCAACACGCACCTGCCTCCCACTGATCGCTCTGAGGCTCTGCAGAGGCTGAATTGAGACAGTTGTCCACCTGCTGGTCGGACGACAGGACAGACGGCCCGTAAGTGTATCTCTCAGGAGAAACTAGGGAAAGAGTGACATAAGTCAAACAAAGGGAGAAGCAGGGACACAAATCTGCAGCATCTTTCTGCAAAGCAAGCCCAGGTAGCAAGTGCTGGAGAGCTAAGTATCACCCCCACCCAGAACTGTGAAAGGAGCCAGCCCCATCATGGAATTCCTCCATCCTGTTTGGATAAAGTTGGTCTGCAAGCTAGAATTAAGTTCCCACTAAAGGAAGAGCAACAGCACTGTAATAAGCGAGTCAAAAGTTGAGTCACTTCCTTCCTGCCTGCGCGGCTGCATACCTGTCCGCTGCCTTTTCAGAGTGACGTAGGGCAGGAGGTCGTGCCTGGTGAGCACCCGCAGGAGCTGCAGCAGCTGCACAAAGTTGGTCTCGTCGCACTTGCCCCTCCGCTCGAGCTCCAGGAGAAGCCGGACACCATCCTTGGGCAGCCCCCTGGACCCCTCGAGGCTGCCTTCCGTCCAGGCTGAGCCCCCCTCCTGCTGCTGCTTCTTCCTCCAGCCCTGCAGGGCGGGCGAGGCCGTCTCTGCGGCCCCCTCTTCCGAGGCTGCCACCACCCAGAGCTCTGGGTCCAGGGGGTGGTGCCAGGGCTGCGTCTCCTCCAGCAGGAAGGAGAGCACTTCCACGTCGTTCTGGGTCAGCTGGGCCCCCACCACTTCGAACATGCGGTGCAGGGGGATCATCCCGTAGTACTCCAGGCACTCCTCCTCCTCCCAGGCATGCGCAAACAGGGGCCGCCGGGAGTCAGCCATCATCGGGGCGGGTGGCGCAAGCAGGGGGGGAGAAGCGCGGCAAGGAGCAGAAGCGCTGCGCAGAAGGAGGAGCTTCGAGGGGTGAGACAGACAAGCGCCTGCAATGGAAGAAACAGCACTGCTCAGGGATCTCCAAACCACTGGCAGCGCAACACTTGGGCAACAGACATGAAACACAGAGACAAGGTGGGCTTGGAGATCCGTCAGTGTTTGGAAAGGGAGCAAGGAGTCTTCTCAGGAGGCCACAAGCTGAGCACCAGTCCACAGCGTGATCACGCAGTGCGGCTCTGGGCTGTGTCAAGCAGCACGCATGCAGGCGGAGGGAAGTCATGGCACCCCCCCCCCCCCCGCGTGGCCTGGAATGGGCTGCCCTTTGGCTGGAAGCATTGGCCCTAAGAGGACAATCCTCTTCAGAGCACCATACAGCTGGAAGAGACCACATGGGCCAACTCGTCCAACCCCCTTCCATGCAGGAAAAGCACAATACTAATAATAATAGTAGTCATCTCCTCTATATTGTTCATGCCCAGCATTATTTTTTAAACTTCAATTACATTTGGCCCAGCCATAGTTTTTTAAATGTGCATTGTGTTTTTGTTTATGTTTATGCTATTTGTGTATGAGATTTATTTTAATTGCTTTGCTTTGTATTATGATTGTTATTGCTTGTATTGATGTATTGTGGGCTCGGCCTCATGTAAGCCGCACCGAGTCCCTTGGGGAGATAGTAGCGGGGTACAAATAAAGTTTAATAATAATAATACCATGCGATATAACACTAATAATAATACAATATATTTCCTTTTTGGACTCTCAATTAAACTTTTTTTCTATTCCTTCCTCATCCAGGGTTTTATCATTTTACCTCGCCCATTTGGCCTGCCCATTGTGTCCGGTCTAATGCTATGTCAATATGCTTTATTTATTTTATTGTCTATGTATTTTATTTTAATTTTTTGTTGCTGTTTTTTGCATTTTATTATGTTGTACTGTATCTGGGCGTGGCCTCATGTAAGCCGCACCAAGTCCCCTTTGGAGACATGGTGGTGGGGTAGAATTAAAGTTGTTTGTTGCTGTTGTTATTATTATTATCATAACTGTAAAATAAGTAATAATTATTATTGTCGAAGGCTTTCATGGCCGGAATCACTGGGTTGTTGTAGGTTTTTTCGGGCTATGTGGCCATGGTCTAGAGGCATTCTCTCCTGACGTTTCGCCTGCATCTATGGCAAGCATCCTCAGAGGTAGTGAGGTCTGTTGGAACTAGGAAAATGGGTTTATATATCTGTGGAATGACCAGGGTGGGACAAAGGACTCTTGTCTGCTGGAGCTAGGTGTGAATGTTTCAACTGACCACCTTGATTAGCATTTAATGGCTTGGAAGTGCCTGGGGGAATCTTTTGTTGAGAGGTGATTTGATGTGCCTGATTGTTTACTCTCTGTTGTTTTGCTGTTGTAATTTTTGAGTTTTTAAATACTGGTAGCCAGATTTTGTTCATTTTCATGTGGACAATTTCAACAGAAAGAAAGGAATGGCTTGGAAATCCCTGGGGGGAATCTTTTGTTGAGAGTGATTTTAATAATAATAATAATTTTAAAAAAAACTTTATTTATACCCCGCTACCATCTCCCAAGGGACTTTGTGCGGCTGACATGAGGCCGAGCCCACAATACATCAATACAAGCAATACAACCACAATACGAAGCCAAATACAACTACTAATACAAAGCAATTAAAATAAACCTCATACACAATTAGCATAAACATTGAACAGTGGCACAAAACATATTTAAAAAACTATGGCTGGGCCAAATGTAATTAAGTTAAAAAAATAATAATGCTGGGCATGAACAAGATAGAGGAAGTGACACGAAGCTGACACGTTCTAGCCACGGGCCAGCTTGGGCCTTCCTCCCTCCCTCCCGGTGTTTTGGACTTCAACTCCCAGCATTCCTCACCACCTCAGACCTTCAGCAGCCAGGATGTTAACCGGGGCTCCTTACAGAGAGAGGTCAACCCTCCTGTTCAAGGAGCTCCACTGGCTGCCGTTTATTTTCCGAGCCCAATTTAAGGTGCAGGTGCTTACCTACAAAGCCCTAAACGGTTTGGGACCATCCTACCTGCGTGACCGCATCTCCGTGTATGAACCCTTCGTTCATCCGGAGAGGCCCTGCTCGCGATTCTGCCTGCGTCACAGGTGCGTCTGGTGGGGACGCGAGACAGGGCCTTTTCTGTGGTGGCCCCCTGACTCTGGAACACCCTCCCCAAAGATCTTAGACAGGCCTGAAGACTTGGCTGTTCTGATGTGCCTTCCCAGAATAGGAAAACTCCAACAACAAGTCCCAGAAGCACTTTATTAGAAATTAAGCTTGCTGCACACCGCACTTACCCTATACATATCACCTGTCACATCAGCACTTTTAATTCTGTACCCATTACTCTGGCCCGGCCCAGTTTTTATTGCGTCTTGGTGTATTGTTTATTGCTCGTTTAATTTTGCTTTAACTGTTTTTAATTTGCTTTAGGTGTTGTATTGTTATGTTGTGTTTTGAGGCCTTGGCCTTTGTAAGCTGCATCGAGTCCTTCGGGAGATGCTAGCGGGGTACAAATAAAGTTAATAATAATAATAATAATAATAATAATAATTGAATTAATTATTATTATTATTATTATTAAACTTTATTTGTACCCCACTAGCATCTCCCGAAGGATTCAATGCGGCTTACAAAGGCCGAGGCCTCAACACACAACACAACAATACAATCTAAGCAAATCAAACAAATAAAAACAGAATAAAGCAAAATAAACAACAGGCACAATACACTAAACACAATAAAAGAAAATGGGTACAAAGATTAAAAGTGCTGATGTGACAGGAGGTGTATATAGGGCTTCCAGGGCAAGTGTGATGTGCGATGTGCAGCAATCATTGGTTCTGATAAAGTGCTTATGGGACTTGGTGGTGGAGATTTCCTAATCTGGGAAGGCGCATCGGAAAAGCCAGGTCTTCAAGTTCTTTCTGAAGACAGCCAATGTAGGGGCCTGTCTAAGGTCTTTGGGGAGGGTGTTCCAGAGTTGGGGGGCCACCACGGAAAAGGCCCTGTCTCGTGTCCCCACCAAGCGCGCTTGCGACGCCGGTGGGATCACAAGCAGGGCCTCTCCAGATATTTATTTATTTACTTACTTTGCTTATATACCGCTGTTCTCAGCCCGGGGGCGACTCACAGCGGTGTACAACATAGAAGAACAAGGTTCAAAATTCAAGACACAATCTAAAATATCAATCTAGCATTAACCAAAAACATCATCATCAAAAACATCAACAATATCAATAATACAAAAGCCATTCCACATCGTCTCATCGTTTAAACCACAATCCAGTATCATTTTCCGTTGTTCCATTCCTGTCGTCATTACCAATTATTGCACTTCTTGTTCGAACGCCTTCTTGAACAGCCAAGTCTTTAATTTCCTGCGGAATATCATCAGGGAAGGAGCCAGTCTGATGTCCACGGGAAGGGTGTTCCACAGCCGAGGAGCCACCACCGAGAAGGCCCTATCTCTCGTCCCCGCCAGCCGTGCTTGTGAGGCAGGCGGGATTGAGAGCAGGGCCTCCCCGGAAGATCTCAAAGTCCTGGTGGGCTCGTAGGTCGAGATGCGGTCGGATAGGTATCTTGGGCCGGAACCGTTTAGGGCTTTATAGGCCAACGCCAGCACCTTGAATTGATCGGCAGCCAGTGGAGCTAGTACAACATGGGCGTTGTATGCTCCCTGCTCCTGTTAGTAACACCATTAACGAAGGGGAAACACAATTAACGAAGGGGCTGATCTAACGCCCTTCCCATGAACGTTAGATCAGCCCCTTCGTTAATGGTGTTTCGAAGGAAACTAAAAACCTGGCTGTTTGAACAGGCATTCAGATAAACAGTGCAATGTACACGATGAATATAGGATACAGGAATATAGGAACGGAATTATGGATGACGAATTGGATCACGATTTGTAATGTGTTGGTATTGATGTGTTATTACCATGTATATTATGTTGTTAATGGTTTTTAAATTTTGTATGTTGTTGGACTGACTTTTTGCTCTTGTTGTAAACCGCGTTGAGTCGCCTACGGGCTGAGAAACTGCGGTATACAAGCAAAGTAAATAAATAAATAAATAAACATGGCTGCTGCATGCTGGATCAATTGAAGCTTCCGGGCTGTCTTCAAAGGCAACCCCATGTAGAGAGCGTTGCAGTAGTCTAGGCGGGATGTAACGAGAGCGTGGACTACCATGGCCAAGTCAGACTTCCCAAGGTACGGGCGCAGCTGGTGCACAAGTTTTAACTGTGCAAATGCTCCCCTGGTCACCGCCGAAACCTGGGGCTCCAGGCTCAACGATTAATCCAGGATCACACCCAAGCTGCGAACTTGTGCCTTCAGGGGGAGTGTGACCCCATCCAGCACAGGCTGTCACCCTATGCCCTGTTTGGCCTTGCGACTGACCAGGAGTACCTCTGTCTTGCCTCATCCAGACCGTTACAGCGGCCAAGCACCGGTTCAGGACCTGGACAGCCTCCTTAGTAGCTGTGCAAATGCTCCCCTGGTCACCTCCGAGACCTGGGGTTCCAGGCTCAACGATGATAGAGGAGGTGACAGGAAGCTGAGTGTTGAGGCCACGCCTGTTCTAGCCATGGGCCAGCTTGGGCCTTCCTCCCTCCCTCCCGGTGTTTTGGACTTCAACTCCCAGCATGCCTCACCGCGTAAGCGGAAGGGGAGGGGCCCGAGGCGGTGAGGAATGCTGGGAGTTGAAGTCCAAGTGGTTCTGGCTTGGAAGGAAGGTTCCTCCCGGCCTGGCCTTCCCAACCGGAAGAGGAGGCTCCCTCGGGCCTCCCTCCCTGTGTTTTGGACTTCAACTCCCAGCATGCCTCACCGCGTAAGCGGAAGGGGAGGGGCCCGAGGCGGTGAGGAATGCTGGGAGTTGAAGTCCAAGTGGTTCTGGCTTGGAAGGAAGGTTCCTCCCGGCCTGGCCTTCCCAACCGGAAGAGGAGGCTCCCTCGGGCCTCCCTCCCTGTGTTTTGGACTTCAACTCCCAGCATGCCTCACCGCGTAAGCGGAAGGGGAGGGGCCCGAGGCGGTGAGGAATGCTGGGAGTTGAAGTCCAAGTGGTTCTGGCTTGGAAGGAAGGTTCCTCCCGGCCTGGCCTTCCCAACCGGAAGAGGAGGCTCCCTCGGGCCTCCCTCCCTGTGTTTTGGACTTCAACTCCCAGCATTCCTCACCGCCTAAGCGGAAGGGGAGGGGCCCGAGGCGGTGAGGAATGCTGGGAGTTGAAGTCCAAGTGGTTCTGGCTTGGAAGGAAGGTTCCTCCCGGCCTGGCCTTCCCAACCGGAAGAGGAGGCTCCCTCGGGCCTCCCTCCCTGTGTTTTGGACTTCAACTCCCAGCATGCCTCACCGCGTAAGCGGAAGGGGAGGGGCCCGAGGCGGTGAGGAATGCTGGGAGTTGAAGTCCAAGTGGTTCTGGCTTGGAAGGAAGGTTCCTCCCGGCCTGGCCTTCCCAACCGGAAGAGGAGGCTCCCTCGGGCCTCCCTCCCTGTGTTTTGGACTTCAACTCCCAGCATGCCTCACCGCGTAAGCGGAAGGGGAGGGGCCCGAGGCGGTGAGGAATGCTGGGAGTTGAAGTCCAAGTGGTTCTGGCTTGGAAGGAAGGTTCCTCCCGGCCTGGCCTTCCCAACCGGAAGAGGAGGCTCCCTCGGGCCTCCCTCCCTGTGTTTTGGACTTCAACTCCCAGCATGCCTCACCGCGTAAGCGGAAGGGGAGGGGCCCGAGGCGGTGAGGAATGCTGGGAGTTGAAGTCCAAGTGGTTCTGGCTTGGAAGGAAGGTTCCTCCCGGCCTGGCCTTCCCAACCGGAAGAGGAGGCTCCCTCGGGCCTCCCTCCCTGTGTTTTGGACTTCAACTCCCAGCATGCCTCACCGCGTAAGCGGAAGGGGAGGGGCCCGAGGCGGTGAGGAATGCTGGGAGTTGAAGTCCAAGTGGTTCTGGCTTGGAAGGAAGGTTCCTCCCGGCCTGGCCTTCCCAACCGGAAGAGGAGGCTCCCTCGGGCCTCCCTCCCTGTGTTTTGGACTTCAACTCCCAGCATGCCTCACCGCGTAAGCGGAAGGGGAGGGGCCCGAGGCGGTGAGGAATGCTGGGAGTTGAAGTCCAAGTGGTTCTGGCTTGGAAGGAAGGTTCCTCCCGGCCTGGCCTTCCCAACCGGAAGAGGAGGCTCCCTCGGGCCTCCCTCCCTGTGTTTTGGACTTCAACTCCCAGCATGCCTCACCGCGTAAGCGGAAGGGGAGGGGCCCGAGGCGGTGAGGAATGCTGGGAGTTGAAGTCCAAGTGGTTCTGGCTTGGAAGGAAGGTTCCTCCCGGCCTGGCCTTCCCAACCGGAAGAGGAGGCTCCCTCGGGCCTCCCTCCCTGTGTTTTGGACTTCAACTCCCAGCATTCCTCACCGCCTAAGCGGAAGGGGAGGGGCCCGAGGCGGTGAGGAATGCTGGGAGTTGAAGTCCAAGTGGTTCTGGCTTGGAAGGAAGGTTCCTCCCGGCCTGGCCTTCCCAACCGGAAGAGGAGGCTCCCTCGGGCCTCCCTCCCTGTGTTTTGGACTTCAACTCCCAGCATGCCTCACCGCGTAAGCGGAAGGGGAGGGGCCCGAGGCGGTGAGGAATGCTGGGAGTTGAAGTCCAAGTGGTTCTGGCTTGGAAGGAAGGTTCCTCCCGGCCTGGCCTTCCCAACCGGAAGAGGAGGCTCCCTCGGGCCTCCCTCCCTGTGTTTTGGACTTCAACTCCCAGCATGCCTCACCGCGTAAGCGGAAGGGGAGGGGCCCGAGGCGGTGAGGAATGCTGGGAGTTGAAGTCCAAGTGGTTCTGGCTTGGAAGGAAGGTTCCTCCCGGCCTGGCCTTCCCAACCGGAAGAGGAGGCTCCCTCGGGCCTCCCTCCCTGTGTTTTGGACTTCAACTCCCAGCATGCCTCACCGCCTAAGCGGAAGGGGAGGGGCCCGAGGCGGTGAGGAATGCTGGGAGTTGAAGTCCAAGTGGTTCTGGCTTGGAAGGAAGGTTCCTCCCGGCCTGGCCTTCCCAACCGGAAGAGGAGGCTCCCTCGGGCCTCCCTCCCTGTGTTTTGGACTTCAACTCCCAGCATGCCTCACCGCGTAAGCGGAAGGGGAGGGGCCCGAGGCGGTGAGGAATGCTGGGAGTTGAAGTCCAAGTGGTTCTGGCTTGGAAGGAAGGTTCCTCCCGGCCTGGCCTTCCCAACCGGAAGAGGAGGCTCCCTCGGGCCTCCCTCCCTGTGTTTTGGACTTCAACTCCCAGCATGCCTCACCGCGTAAGCGGAAGGGGAGGGGCCCGAGGCGGTGAGGAATGCTGGGAGTTGAAGTCCAAGTGGTTCTGGCTTGGAAGGAAGGTTCCTCCCGGCCTGGCCTTCCCAACCGGAAGAGGAGGCTCCCTCGGGCCTCCCTCCCTGTGTTTTGGACTTCAACTCCCAGCATGCCTCACCGCGTAAGCGGAAGGGGAGGGGCCCGAGGCGGTGAGGAATGCTGGGAGTTGAAGTCCAAGTGGTTCTGGCTTGGAAGGAAGGTTCCTCCCGGCCTGGCCTTCCCAACCGGAAGAGGAGGCTCCCTCCTCCCTCCTTCCCTCCCTCCCTCCCTAGCATGCCTCACCGCGTAAGGGAGGCCAAGCGCGCACCGGCCGCCAGGGGGCAGCACACCAAGGAGCCTCGGAGCCTCGGGAGGGGGATAGAGAGGGGGCACCTCAGCCCCTCCCTCACTCCCCCTCCCCTCTCCTCCCCCCCCCCAGCCTGCCCGCTTCTCCCTCTCTTTGTGCGGGGGGGGGGGAACCAAGGCGAGAGGCCTTCAAAGCCAGGCGCCCCCTCGCCTCGTCCCTTCGAGGGGGGAGAAAAGAGAGAGCCCCCTCCCTCTGCCCCCCTCCCCCGTTCTCACCGAGCTTTCGACGATGAGCGTCCTCCTCCTCCTCTTCCTCCCTGCGCCGTCCTTCTGGTCTTTCTGGTCCCTCGTTCGCCTCTGCGCATGCGCCAGCCTCTCCTCAGCTGAGGGCTCCTCCCCGGCGCATGCGCAGCGCCTCTGTTTGTGTCTCGCAGGTGTCCAAGCCGCACATGCGCCCTCCGGCCGCCCTCCCTTTCGGCTCGCTCACGCGGACGGCCCACGTGAGGGGGCGGGGCCTCCCCAGCGCGGCCTCGGCGAGGAAGACAACAACAAGAGACGTCACAAGCCCCGCCCCTTCCTCCCCTCGCCTGGGGCGTCGTCAAGGAGACGGCGGGGGTTAGGTAACCAGGGGCGGGGAAGGAGCAAAGGTGAAGTGCCACCCTCCGTCCGCTTGGTGGCTCCGCCCAGGAAGGCGCCGCCGTGACGTCTCAAGCCTGCGGCGAGCGGAAGCACCTCTTGAGTATCGAGGGCGCTGATTGGCCGGCCCGTGAAGGAAGCCAGGCGCGGGTGAGGAGGCGGTGGGAAAGGGTCTGGCTCTGCGAGGGAGCCCCAGAGTCCCAGGTGAGTGGCCGAGGGAGGCACGGAGGAGGACAGAAGCCCCGCAGGAGAGTCCCAGGGAGGCAGGGAGCAGGCCCAAAGCCTCTCTTCCCTGGGCAGGAGATTCAGCTGCCTCCGAGTGGGCCTGTGGGCCTTCTGCTGCCATTGTGTGCCATGCAGGGCTGGCTCAAGCCCTTACGCAAAGTAAGCATTCGCAGTAGAGTTGATTTTGCCCAGTGGGGCTCTTGAGGCACTCTTGGGGGGAAAATAGACCTTGACATATGCGAGTGGTAGTTACTGGGATGTATAGTTCACCTACAATCTGAACTCCACCAATTCTGGGCACCACAACTCAAGAGAGATATTGACAAGCTGGGAGAATTTGCCCAGAGGAGGGCGACTCGAAGGGTCTGGAGAACAAGCCCTTTGAGGAGCGGCTTAAGGAGCTGGGCATGTTTAGCCTGAAGAAGAGAAGGCTGAGAGGAGATATGATGAGAGCCATGTGTAAATATGTGAGAGGGATGATCAAGGGTCTGGAGAACAAGCCCTATGAGGAGTGGCTTAAGGCGCTGGGCAAGTTTAGCCTGAAGAAGAGAAGGCTGAGAGGAGATATGATAGCCATGTATAAATATGTGAGAGGAAGTCACAGGGAGGAGGGAGCAAGCTTGTTTTCTGCTTCCCTGGAGACTATGGCTTCAAACTACACGAGAGGAGATTCCACCTGAACATGAGGAAGAACTTCCTGACTGTGAGAGCCGTTCAGCAGTGGAACTCTCTGACCCGGAGGGAGTGTGGTGGAGGCTCCTTCTTTGGAGGCTTTTAAACAGAGGCTGGATGGCCATCTGTCAGGGGTGCTTTGAATGCAATATTCCTGCTTCTTGGCAGAATGGGGTTGGACTGGATGGCCCAGAGGTCTCTTCCAACTCTAGGATTCTAGGAGAGTCCCAGGCAGATGGGGAGCAGGCCCAAAGCCCCTCTTCCCTGGGCATCCCGGGCAGGAGACTCAGCTGCCTGCGAGTGGGCCTGTAACCTGGAGGCCAGGCCGGCATGTGGGTGGGTGCGTGTTGGGGGCATATTCAGGGGCGGCTCAACCCATTATGCAAAGTATAGTTGATTTTGCCCAGGGGCGCTCTTGGGGTGCTCTTGGGGGAAAATAGACCTTGACATATGCGAGTTGTAGTTACTGGGATGTATAGTTCACCTACAATCAAAGAGCATTCTGAACTCCACCAATGATGGAATTGAACCAAATATGGCACACAGAACTCCCACGACAAACAGAAAATATATATCAATGATTGGTTGGGGGGGGGGGGCAAAATACTGTTTGCTTACCATTGAAAATTACCTAGGGCCGCCTCTGAATACAGTGCACATTTAAAATCAGATTAGAGAGATGATGGGCCAAAACTAACAAAATGAAGTTCAACAGGGACAAAGGCAAGAGACTCCACTTTGGCAGGAAAAATGAAATGCAAAGATACAGAATGGGGGACGATGAGGCCTGGCTCAAGAGCAGGACGTGTGAAAAAGATCTTGGAGTCCTCGTGGAGAGGAAGGTGAACATGAGCCAGGAATGTGATGTGGCGGCAAAAAAAGCCAATGGGATTTTGGCCTGCATCAAGAGGAGCCTAGTGTCTAGATCCAGGGAAGTCATGCTCCCCATGCTCTATTCGCTTTGGTTAGACCACACCTGGAATATTGTGTCCAATTCTGGGCACCACAATTCAAGAGAGATATTGACAAGCTGGAATGTGTCCAGAGGAGGGACTAAAATGATCAAGGGTCTGGAGAACAAGCCCTATGAGGAGCGGCTTAAGGAGCTGGGCATGTTTAGCCTGAAGAAGAGAAGGCTGAGAGGAGACAGGATGATAGCCATGTATAAATATGTGAGAGGAAGCCACAGGGAGGAGGGAGCAGATCAAGGGCTGGAGAACAAGCCCTATGAGGAGCGGCTTAAGGAGCTGGGCATGTTTAGCCTGAAGAAGAGAAGGCTGAGAGGAGATGATAGCCATGTATAAATATGTGAGAGGAAACCACAGGGAGGAGGAGGGAGCAAGCTTGTTTTCTGCTTCCCTGGAGACTAGGACTTCAAACTACAAGAAAGGAGATTCCATCTGAACATGAGGAAGAACTTCCTGACTGAGAGCCATTCAGCAGTGGAACTCTCTGCCCCGGAGTGTGGTGGAGGCTCCTTCTTTGGAAGCTTTTAAACAGAGGCTGGATGGCCATCTGTCAGGGGTGATTTGAATGCAATATTCCTGCTTCTTGGCAGAATGGGGTTGGACTGGATGATGGCCCAGGAGGTCTCTTCCAACTCTAGGATTCTAGGAGAGTCCCAGGCAGGTGGGGAGCAGGCCCAGAGGCCCTCTTCCCTGGGCATCCCGGGCAGGAGACTCAGCTGCCTGCGAGTGGGCCTGTAACCTGGAGGCCAGGCCGGCATGTGGGTGGGTGCGTGTTGGGGGCATATTCAGGGGCGGCTCAACCCATTATACAAAGTAAGCATTCACAGTATAGTTGATTTTGCCCAGGGGTGCTCTTGAGGTGCTCTTGGGGGAAAATAGACCTTGACATATGTGAGTTGTAGTTACTGGGATGTATAGTTCACCTACAATCAAAGAGCATTCTGAACTCCACCAATGATGGAATTGAACCAAATATGGCACACAGAACTCCCACGACGAACAGAAAATATATATCAGTGATTGGTTGGGGGAGGGGGGGGCAAAATACTGTTTGCTTACCATTGAAAATTACCTAGGACCACCTCTGGAATCAGCTGTGCAGAGGCTGAGATGGAAGCGGAGAAGCGTTTTGTGGGGGGGAACCCTCTCCTGACATGGGTGTCCTCACCCCCACCCTAGCCCATAATTTATCACAGGCAGTGGAGGAATGGTATTGCTTCAGGGACCTGGGAAAGGGAATCGGGAGAACCCTCTGGAGCAGTAGTTCTCAACCTGGGGGTCGGGACCCCTGGAGGGGTCACCAAGGTATCAGAGGGGTCACCAAAGACCATCAGAAAAACAGTATTTTCTGTTGGTCATGGGGGTTCTGTGTGGGAAGTTTAGTCCAATTCAATTGTTGGTGGGGTTCAGAATGCTCTTTGAGTGTAGGTGAAATATAAATCCCAGCAACTACAACTCACAAATGTCAAGGTTTTGTTATTTTCCCCAAACACCGTGTTCACATTTGGGCATATTGAGTATTATTCAAGTTTGGTCCAGATCCATCATTGTTTGAGTCCACAGTGCTCTCTGGGTGGAGGTGAACTACAACTCCAAAACTCAAGGTCAATGCTCTTGAGGCGTCTTGGGGGAAAATAGACCTTGACATATGCGAGTTGTAGTTACTGGGATGTATAGTTCACCTACAATCAAAGAGCATTCTGAACTCCACCAAGGATGGAACTGAACCAAATATGGCACACAGAACTCCCACGACGAACAGAAAATATATATCTCATAGAATCATAGAATCAAAGAGTTGGAAGAGACCTCATGGGCCATCCAGTCCAACCCCATTCTGCCAAGAAGCAGGAATATTGCATTCAAATCACCCCTGACAGATGGCCATCCAGCCTCTGCTTAAAAGCTTCCAAAGAAGGAGCCTCCACAACACTCCCTCCGGGGCAGAGAGTTCCACTGCTGAACGGCTCTCACAGTCAGGAAGTTCTTCCTCATGTTCAGATGGAATCTCCTCTCTTGTAGTTTGAAGCCATTGTTCCGCGTCCTAGTCTCCAGGGAAGCAGAAAACAAGCTTGCTCCCTCCTCCCCGTGGCTTCCTCTCACATATTTATACATTGCTATCATCTCCTCTCAGCCTTCTCTTCTTCAGGCTAAACATGCCCAGCTCCTTAAGCCGCTCCTCATAGGGCTTGTTCTCCAGACCCTTGATCATTTTAGTCGCCCTCCTCTGGACACATTCCAGCTTGTCAATATCTCTCTTGAATTGCGGTGCCCAGAATTGGACACAATATTCCAGGTGTGGTCTAACCAAGGCAGAATAGAGCATGGGGAGCATGACTTCCCTAGATCTAGACACTATGCTCCTATTGATGCAGGCTAAAATCCATTATTATTATTAATTTTATTTGTACCCCGCTAGCATCTCCTGAAGGACTCGATGCGGCTTACAAAGGCCAAGGCCTCAAAACACAACATAACAATACAAAACCTAAAGCAAATTAAAAACTTAAAGCAATATTAAACAACAGCAATAAACAATACACCAAGACACAATAAAACTGGGCCGGGCCAGAGTAATGGGTACAGAATTAAAAGTGCTGATGTGACAGGTGATATGTAAGGATTATAGGGTAAGTGCAGTGTGCAGTGTGCAGCAATCTTAGTTCTACTAAAGTGCTTCTGGGACTTGGTGGAGATTTCCTAATCGGGAAAGGCACATCGGAACAGCCAGGTCTTCAAGTTCTTTCTGAAGACTGCCAGTGTAGGGGCCTGTCTAAGATCTTTGGGGAGTGTGTTCCAGACAACAACACTGAATACTGTTTGCTTACTGTTGAAAATTACCTAGGGCCGCCTCTTTGGGAGGGTGGGTGGGTGTTGGGGGCATATTGAGAGCATGATGGGGAGTAATAAGTCAGTGGGGAACCAAGGGTGGCCTGGGGTGGGGGCAGGCAGCCCTTCCTCACCCGCTCTTCCCCCTCCCTCCCTCCCTCCCCAGGCACCATGGCGGAGGACCTGTCCCAGTCGCTCTTCCTGCAGCACCAGTACATGTGCTCCGAGTGCGGGCTGCTCTACGACACGCTGGAAGCAGTGCTGATCCACCACCAGAGCCACCTCCCGGAGACCCCTACTCCTCCTGCGGAAGAAGGAGCCATGGCCCCGACTCAGGAGAGCAGCAGGTTCCAGTGCCTGGAGTGCGGCTGTGCCCTGGGCTCCCCGGACGAGCTCCTGGCCCACCAGGAAGTGCACCCCAGGGAGGTCCCCTCCCGGCCCCCGCCTGCCCCGGGGCAGATCCGCTACCAGTGCAACGAGTGCCAGGAGCTCTTCCCCTCCACCGCCCTCTGGCTGGCCCACCGACGGGCCCACCGCCAGAAAGAGCCGGCCGCAACAGCCTGCCCCTCGCCTCCCCTTCCGCCCTCCCTTCCACCCGCCCCACCAGTGCACCCCTACGAATGCTCCGAGTGCGCCGGCCTCTTCCTGACCCCTGAGGAGCTGCTGGAGCATCAGGGAGAGCATTTCACGGAGATCGAGAAGGAGAGCGCAGAGCCCCCTGAAGGCACGGTGGCGGCAGCGGCGGTTCAAGAAGCAGCCAGCCCCCAAACATCTCCATTGCGGGGCCCCGAAGAAGACGCCCCCCTGCCCGCGTCGCCCTCCAACAAGGTGCTCAGCTGCTGCGAATGCAAGCAGGCCTTTGCCTCAGCGGAGGCCCTGGAGCAGCACCGGCTGGAGCAGCATGCGCGGACCCAGCCGGAAGAGTTCCTCTGTGGGGAGTGCCAGCGCGGCTTCACCACGGCCAAGCGGCTGTTGGCGCACCAGCGGGCGCACATGGACGGCACCTACGAGTGCCCCAACTGCAACAAGATCTTCAAGAAGGCGGCCTCCCTGGAGCAGCACATGCGGGTGCACAAGGGGGAGGCGCTCTACCTCTGCGTGGACTGCGGCCTGGGCTTCTCCACCGAGATGACGCTCGTCACGCACCGCAAGAACCACACCGCCAATCCCCTGCACCGCTGCCACTGCGGCAAGGCCTTCAGCAACATGACCAAGTTCCTGTACCACCGGCGCACACACGCGGGCAAGAGCGGGGTGCCCCCCACCCGAGGGAACGTGAAGCCGGGGCTCGGCAAGCAGCCCCTGGAGCCAGTCCCGAGCGATGGGGAGCCGGTGGTCAACGGCGGCAGCAGCGGTGGCGGAGGGGCCTCCCCCAAGCCCCCCTCCTCCACTTCCTCCCCAAAGAAGGGGCCGGGAGCAGAGGCCAGCGGGGCGGGCTTCCTGTGCCCGCAGTGTGGCAAGGGCTTCTCCACCTACCTCCGGATGGTGCGCCACAAGCGGGTGGTGCACGTCCTGGAGCGCAAGCACAAGTGCCCCATGTGCAGCAAGAAGTTCAAGAAGCTGGTGCACGTGCGGAACCACCTGCGCACCCACACCGGGGAGCGGCCCTTCCAGTGCTCCGAGTGCGGAAAGACCTTCGTCTCGCAGGCCAACCTGGCGCGGCACCACATCACCCACACTGGGGAGCGCCCCTACCAGTGCCAGGTGTGCGGCAAGCGCTTCACCCAGTCCTCCAACCTCCGCCAGCACCGCCTCCTGCACCTTGTGCCCGCCCGCCAGGGCCCCCACACCTGCCAGGACTGCGGGGCCACCTTTGCCCGCCCCTACCAGCTGGCCCTGCACCAGGCGGCCCACATGGGCAGCCTGCCCTTCCCCTGCCCCGAGTGCGAGAAGACTTTTCCCCGGCGCTGCCTCTTGGAGCTGCACCGGCTCAGCCATGCTGGGCGCGAGCCCCACCGCTGCCCGGACTGCAATGCCCTCTTCGTGGAGGCCGCCAAGCTGCAGGAGCACCGCTGTGCCCGCCGCCGGGAGCTGGGCCCCTCCCGGACATACCCCTGCCTCTCCTGCGGCAAGTACCTGGGCTCCCCGGCCAAGCTGGCTGCCCACCAGCTGGCGCACTCGGGCCAGCGCCCATTCCCGTGCCCGCTCTGCGGCAAGACCTTCACCACCCCGAGCGGGCTGAGCCGGCACCAGCAGCGCCACGCCGGCCTGCGGCCCCACAAGTGCCCTGTCTGCGGGAAGGGCTTCATGGCGGCCTCGGGGCTGCAGCTGCACCAGCGCATCCACACGGGCGAGCGCCCCTTCCCCTGCCCCGAGTGCGGGAAGGCCTTCCGGCAGGCCACCCACCTACAGGAGCACCGGCGGCTGCACACGGGCGAGCGCCCCTTCCGCTGCCGGGACTGCGGCAAGACCTTTGTGCAGTCCATGCACCTGGCCGAGCACCGGCGCATCCACACGGGTGAGCGGCCCCACCCCTGCCCCCTCTGCTCCCGGACTTTCAAGACCCTCTCCCACCTGCGCAGCCACCGAAAAACCCACGCGGAAGCGGAGCCTCAACAGGAGGCGCTGGTGCTGGCCACGCCGGACCCTTCGGCGGGAGCGACAAACGGAGGGGCGGCTGTCCAGCCTGTCCAGACCATCATGTGCACCGAGTTCGGAGAGACCATCGCCATCATCGAAAGCGCTGAGCCGCTGCCCTTGGTGGAGACCATCGAGATCTATCAAGCCACACTGGAAGGGAACCTCCAGGTCCACGCCTTCGTCTAGGAGCAAAGCCAAGGGACTCGGGGCTCCAGGCAGAGGCTGGTGTTGGAGCCAGGCTTTGGCCCGTGCGCCTCTTCTTCTGTGCCATGGGCGTTTGTTCAAGTGTGCGTGTGTGTGCTATGGACTCACCTGGGCCACCTCTGCACACCTATTTCCAGTATTTATTTTTGCTTTTCTAAGAAAGGTTCCAATACATCTTTTTCCAGTTTTGTTTCTGCCAGAGAGGGTTGTGGGAGGCAGGGGGGAGGCTGAGGTCCTGCCCGCTCCCCATTAAATTATTCCTCTGTGCTTTGAACCTGATCTCCGTGTCTCCTCTTCTTTGCAGAGCCACAACAAGCCAGGCCAGGCCTTTTCTCATTTGAGTTGTGATGCCACTGGGGACACTGGGGCCTCTGAAAGGGGGGCTCCATTACAACCAGAGAAGGGAATGGCACTGAAGTATCATCACAGCCAAGAGAGCGCAAGGCTCCTAGGGCTGAGGAGATGAGCAAAGCAGGGGGAAAGGCTTTATTTATTAGGTTCTTGTGGGTTTTTTCGGGCTGTATGGCCATGTTCTAGAGGTATTCTCTCCTGACGTTTCGCCTGCATCTATGGCAAGCATCCTCAGAGGTGGTGAGGTCTGTTGGAACTAGGAAAATGGGTTTATCTTCCAGTATTTTTATTATTTATTTATTTTCAGCTTTTATATTCCGCCCTTCTCCTCACCCCGCAGGGGACTCAGGGCGGATTACAGTGTACACATATATGGCAAACATTCAATGCCAATTTTGACATACAACATATACAGACATAGACAGAGGCTATTTAACTTTTTCTGGCCGCCAGTTCATCGTCCATCTGCGACACTGATGAAGCACTTCCGCATTCCCCGCATGCTTCCCCGCTGGAATGCTTTGCTGGAGTCTTCTTTATGGCCTCATAAATCAGTTAATTTAGCCTCCCCACACTTTAAGGTGGTACCTTATTTTCTACTTGACAGATGCAACTGTCTTTCGGGTTGCAAAGGTCGACAACAGGCTACACACAATTGGTTGGAAACCCACTCCAACCTGGACGCTGATGAAGCACTTCCGCATTCCCCGCATGCTTCCCCGCTGGAATGCTTTGCTGGAGTCTTCTTTATGGCCTCATAAATCAGTTAATTTAGCCTCCCCACACTTTAAGGTGGTACCTAACTTTCCTACTTGACAGATGCAACTGTCTTTCGGGTTGCAAAGGTCGACAACAGGCTACACACAATTGGTTGGAAACCCACTCCAACCTGGCTTCAAACTATTTCCGCATTCCCCGCATGCTTCCCCGCTGGAATGCTTTGCTGGAGTCTTCTTTATGGCCTCATAAATCAGTTAATTTAGCCTCCCCACACTTTAAGGTGGTACCTTATTTTCCTACTTGACAGATGCAACTGTCTTTCGGGTTGCAAAGGTTGACAACAGGCTACACATAATTGGTTGGAAACCCACTCCAACCCGGGCTGATGAAGCACTTCCGCAATCCCCGCATGCTTCCCCGCTGGAATGCTTTGCTGGAGTCTTCTTTATGGCCTCATAAATCAGTTAATTTAGCCTCCCCACACTTTAAGGTGGTACCTAATTTTCCTACTTGACAGATGCAACTGTCTTTCGGGTTGCAAAGGTCGACAACGGGCTACACAATTGGTTGGAAACCCAGGCTGGCTTCGAACTCATGACCTTTTGGTCAGAGTGATCTTAATGCAGCTGACACTCAGCCAGCTGCGCCACAATCCCGGTGTGTGTGTTGAAGAAAAACAGCCAGGTGTGCCACAATCCCGGTGCTTGCTTGCTGAACCTTGGGGGGCGGGAAGGGGGATAAGAGAAGCAGGTCCTTCAGGGTAAGGCTGGCACAGGCTCTTTGGTGCGCAGAAAAGTTTGTCTGCCCAACAACCTCCAGCTGATAAGCCCTTGAAAGTGAGCTGGAAGGATAAAGGACCCAAACTCTTTTCCAGCCAGCTGTAGTTGAGCCGAGGAGGCAAAAGGTGGCAAAAGGACTTGGCAGAGCAAATTGGAGTCCATGTTTACATAATGGCATGGGGCTAAATCCAGGGTTATGCAACCAGGCTCATGTCCCTGGGACAGGAGTTTCTTTCCTCGGTCTTCAGTCCCCTCCGCAACGTGGCTTACTCGGCTGTGAGGGGAAAGCGGCCACCCGATTATTTTATTTTGCGCATTTCTACCCCTCCCTTCTTAACCCCCGAAGGGGGGGACTCAGGGCGGCTTACAAAAGGCACAACTCGATGCCAGCCAAACAGATAAAATGTACATCACAACCGTTATAAAACAATTAAAACAATCCAGTTATACATCACAATTAATAAAAACCAATCTAATGATCAACATTCGCCAAGCTCAGAATCCGTAAGTTCATTCCGCATTGTCAAATCCTATCCAATTCTAGTCGTCATTGTCCTATCATAGAATCAAAGAGTGGGAAGAGACCTCCTGGGCCATCATCCAGTCCAACCCCATTCTGCCAAGAAGCAGGAATATTGCATTCAATGCACCCCTGACAGATGGCCATCCAGCCTCTGTTTAAAAGCTTCCAAAGAAGGAGCCTCCACCACACTCCGGGCAGAGAGTTCCACTGCTGAATGGCTCTCACAGTCAGGAAGTTCTCCCTCATGTTCAGATGGAATCTCCTCTCTTGTAGTTTGAAGCCATTGTTCCATTGCGTCCTAGTCTCCAGGGAAGCAGAACACAAGCTTGCTCCCTCCTCCTCCCTGTGGCTTCCTCTCACATATTTATACATGGCTATCATGTCTCCTCTCAGCCTTCTCTTCTTCAGGCTAAACATGCCCAGCTCCTTAAGCCGCTCCTCATGGGGCTTGTTCTCCAGACCCTTTGTCTATCTTCCAGATTACCCAAAGGCCTGGTCCCATATCCATGTTTTTAATTTCCTTCTGAAAGAGAGGAGGGATGTCGATGACCTAATTTCCCCGGGAAGTGAATTCCACAGGTGAGGGGCCACCACCGAGAAGGCCCTGCTCCTCGTCCCCACCAATCTCACTTGTGATAGAGGTGGGGCCGAGAGCAGGGCCTCCCCAGAAGATCTTAAACTCCGAGGCGGGACGTAGAAGGAGATGCGTTCGGACAGGTACGCTGGGCCGGAGCCGTATAGGGTTTTGTAGGTCAAAACCAGCACTTTGAATTGTGCTCGGAACTGGATTGGCATAACGGGGATGGTATACTCCCTGTATGACGCTCCGGTGAATTAACCAGCACCGTGGGGTCCAAGCCGCTCCCAGTCCTTTTCCAGCAGGTCTCCTTGATTGCAGATGGGGATCCCACCTTTCCCGCCCACCGCCCTCTGAGGGCAGGAGGGCTTCCTCCCCGCCAGGGCTTCTCTACCCACTCCTCATCCACACGATCGGAATAAGGCACCCCACGCGATTCTCTCCGTTCATGCCAATAATTTATTGAACCGGATGTCTGTACACAGCCAAAAAACCTAAGAAAGAAACTAACACACAATGTTTTTTGGGGGGGGGAGGGGGTGATTTTGGGAGGGGGCATCGTGAGGGCATTTATCCACAGGCTGCTCTCTGGTTCTTCAGGGGACCCCTCAAACCTAGAGCAATTTGAAGGTGGGGGTGGGAGGGGCGGGGGTCTTGGGGCCATCGTTGCATTAAGAAAAGAAATCTATTTACAGGGAGAAATGGGAGGAGGCTGTTTGGTGGGGAGGGGGGAGGAGGAAGGGGAAGAAAAAAGGTATTTACAGATGGGGGGGCCTGGAATCTTCTCGCCTCCTCCTCCTCCTTCTTCCACCCTCCCTTTGGGAGCCCCCTCCCACTGGGGAAGAGAGGGGCAAACCTGTGATGCCAGGGGGGAGGGAGGAATCGTGGGCCCCCGCCTCAGCAGAGAAGAGGGGAGCTTGTTCCCAGTAAGAGGCTGCGGTGGAGGCAGGTCCGAGGGGAGGGGGAGGGGGCAGGAGGGGCGGGGCCGGCTCCCCCCTTGAAGGGGACACACCTGTTTCAACTGGGAGCTTCTTTTCTTTTAAAGGGAGGGGGGAACCTAACCTGCTTAAAAATAACAGCATCCGTGTTTCAGAGGCAAACAGGCCCAGCAGGTCTTTTGGGGGCTGGGGGGGCCGGGTGGGAGAGACCTAGTGCAGGAACTGTTTTGCCTCAAAGGGCGACACGAAGCTGGAACTAAAACCTTGTTATCATTTTGTTTTCTCCGAGGGGGGGTGTTAAAAACAAGAGGGACTTAAAAAACAAGCTGGGACCCCACCCCCCGTTTTTGAGAGGGGTGGGGAGGAGAGGGAGTTGGGGAGAGGGTCAGCAGAAACCGCAGGGCGATGGTGTGCCCCCCCCCCACTTGCGGAGGCACCAGCCTGGACTGATGACCAAGAAAGGAGCCCTGAAGCCACAGGATGACCGTTCACTGCTTTTTTTCTGATGCCTCCCTGTGCAAAGGAGGGATCGCGAGGGAACCTCCAATGGTGTCGGGAAGAGGTGACTGCCCCCCTCCTGTCCGGCGCCCCACCCCTGACCGACTGCCCCCTTAACCAACAGGAGGGGGGTGGGGTGCCGCTTGGTCCCCGGCCATGAATCCCCCTCCTCCTCCTCCTCCGTTGTTCACAGTTCAGAGAAGTCCGTGTGAGTGGCCGGTGGGGGGCAGGGGGTGGTGGAGGGGACCTGCCCCCCGGCCCAGAGGCAGCTCCTCAGGATGTGTTGGCGATGGGTCCCGTGCCACTGCCGTCCCCCGGCGTGCCCTGGCTCCGGTCCGGTCCGAGTCTCCCCTCGCCTGCAGCAAAAGGAGAAAGTGAGCCTTCCCTTGACCACCTCCCCTCCTTCCTATCTATCTATCTATCTATCTATCTATCTATCTATCTATCTATCTATCTATCTATCTAAATATGTGTGTGTGTGTGTGTGTGTGTGTGTGTGTGTGTGTGTGTGTATATATATCTATCTCCGGCCCGAGTCCCTCTCCGGAGGTTGAGAAGACCTGTGTGTGTGTATATATATCTTTTGTTGTGAACCGGCCTGAGTCCCTCTCTGGAGGTTGAGAAGACCAGAATATTTATATTATATTATATTATATTTATATTAATATAATATAATATAATATATTTATACTGGTCTTCTCAACCTCCAGAGAGGGACTCAGGCCGGTTCACAACAAAAGATATATATAAATATATATATATACACACACACACACATATACTGGTCTTCTCAACCTCCGGAGAGGGATTTTTATATTATTATAAAAATAAACAAAAACAAATATATAAATAAATATATTATTATTATTATTTAAACTTCTATGCGGCCACTCCCCTGGGGCTCGGAGCGGCTTACAAGAATAGCTAAAATCTAACAAAGTTTAAAAGCAATTTAAAACAATTTAAAAACAGAAATATCCAACATTAAAAGCCTGTCGGATAAAAGCCTATACACACACACACATACACACTGGTCTTCTCAACCTCCGGAGAGGGACTCAGGCCGGAGAGATAGATAGATAGATAGATAGATAGATATAAATATAAATATATAAATAAATATAAATATATAAATAAACAAAAACAAATATATAAATAAATAAATATAAATATATAAATAAACAAATATACACACACACACATACACACTGGTCTTCTCAACCTCCGGAGAGGGACTCAGGCCGGAGAGATAGATAGATAGATGATAGATAGATAGATAGATAGATAGATAGATAGATAGATATAAATATATAAATAAATATAAATATATAAATAAATAAATATAAATATATAAATAAACAAATATACACACACACACACATACACACTGGTCTTCTCAACCTCCGGAGAGGGACTCAGGCCGGTTCACAACAAAAGATTCATAAACAATAGTGTAAAATATCACATCACATAATGCACTAATACATAACAACAACAACAAGTCATCAGAATGAAATCGCAATTCATCACCATTTGTCCGTGTGGCCAAGAGTTATTGACTTACTCATCGAATGCTAAATTCCAAGTTTTCACCAGCTTTCTAAAAGTCAGGAGAGAAGGGGCAGTTCTAATCTCCAATGGGAGAGAGTTCCAGAGCCGAGGGGCCACCACCGAGAAGGCCCTGTCCCTCGTCCCCACCAGACGCGATTGCGAGGGTGGTGGGACCGAGAGCAGGGCCCCTCCGGAAGATGGTTCATAGGGGAGAATCCGTTCGGACAGGTAAACGAGGCCAGAGTCGTATTACACTATGTAACATTATGGTTTCTGTCCCTGGGTTGTCAATGCCGTTCTCTAATTGGTACTCTCACAAGGGGAAAATTTATTAAGACTTGGTTTTTACGGGAGGGACATTATTTGTTATAGTTTTTCAATGAATATCCCACAACCTAGTTTGTGGCAACCACAACAAAACAAAGAAGTTTCTGGAGTCTAAAAAGCATTTCCAAAGTAAGTGCTGCACAATGAAACAGGAAATAACACTTTCAAACCAGGAACAGATTTTTCTTTTCATATTTTGTGACATAGTGTAATGCAACTCTTGCCCCCAAAACACAAAGACCAGGCACTCACATATTTTGTGACATAGTGTAATGCAACTCTTGCCCCCAAAACACAAAGACCAGGCACTCACATATTTTGTGACATAGTGTAATGCAATTCTTGCCCCCAAAACACAAAGACCAGGCACTCACTGTGTGCGGTTGTTGAACTCGTTGCTGTTCCCACCGAAGTGGTCTGAGACCGGATGTGTGGCGGAATGAGGTTGGAATTCAGGCCCGGCTGAATGGACAGCTCTGCAGGGGGAACACAGAGGTAGAGATATTTATTTTTGTTTATTTACAGCTTTTCTATTCGGCCCTTCTCCTCACCCCGCAGGGGACTCAGGGCGGATTACAGTGTACACATATATGGCAAACATTCAATGCCAATTTTTGACATACAAACATATACAGACATACACAGAGGCTATTTAACTTTTTCGGCCGCCAGGGGAGCTGTCGCTTTCATCGTCCATCTGCGACGCTGATGAAGCACTTCCGCATTCCCCGCATGCTTCCCCCCTGGAATGCTTTGCTGGAGTCTTCTTTATGGCCTCATAAATCAGTTAATTTAGCCTCCCACACTTTAAGGTGGTACCTAATTTTCCTACTTGACAGATGCAACTGTCTTTCGGGTTGCAAAGGTCGACAACAGGCTACACACAATTGGTTGGAAACCCACTCCAACCCGGGCTGGCTTCGAACTCATGACCTTTTGGTCAGAGTGATCTTAATGCAGCTGACACTCAGCCAGCTGTGCCACAATCCTGTGATAGATCCCGTGGCTCCAATGGTCCACACACACAGATGTTTCAGACACTTTGAGAGACGGACACATATCTGCAGCCTTCCTCCCTTGGGGATCACTGGACTCTTGGTGCCCTGCGGCCCCTGGATGACCCTGGAGTTGACCAAATGCCCTCTCCCCCATCCCAGGGCTTTAAATGGACAGCCAGCCCCCCTCCAGCTCCCTTAGGACAACCACTGTGGCCCCTTCTCCTTGACCCCATGGGTCCCAATGCTGCCCACTCACCCACAGGGCTGAAGTTGAAGAGTGGGGGCAGCTCGCGGCCATTGGGTAGCCGGGCGTTGGGCTCTCGCAGCTCGTCGAAGAAGCTGTTGGCGCAGGCCTCCAGTGGGGAGAGGCGCGTGGCCGGCGTGTACTCCAGCAGCCGGCTGCACAGCGAAATGGCCTCCAGCGGCGTGCGGGGCTTGAACACCTGCGGCAAGGGGGGGAGGGGAAAGGAGGGGGGTCAGCCACCGGACCACGGCCTTTCCTAGCTCCGACCCACTGGCATGTCTCCCTCCTTCGTGGTACCTTGATCCAGGGGTGTGCTTTGATCTGGGGGAACTTGAACTCTGTGTAGTTGGGGTTCATCTCTCGGATCTGTTCTCGCGTCGGCGTGCCCAGCACCTGCAGCAGGGAAGGAAAGGGAGGGAAGTGGCACCCGGCAGGCAGCACTTCCTCTCAGGGAGGAAACTCTGGCTTCAGCCAATACACTCACCCCTACTCTGGCACCCCTCCTCTTAGAAAAGTGCTGGTACCTTACCCCTAGCACATTATCAAAGATCAGCAAAGGAAAGAGCAACGGGAAATGTTGGAAATGCGGTAAAGAAAAAGGATATTTCATCCACGTGTGGTGGAGATGTAAAAAGGTCAAATCTTACTGGAGACAAATTCACAAAAAAAAAAAATAGAACTTCGAATTAAAACCGGAATACCTAGGGACTTTGACATGGACATAAATGCAAATAAGATCTTTTACTACCTAATAACAGCAGCAAGAATTAAATTGGCCCAGCTTGTTGCATCCCAGATCAAGAAACGAGACCATAAGATTAAATCCACCACACTGGACTGTAGGAAAAACAATCCTTGTTTATTGATGAAAAATTGGTTACAAAAGAAAGGTAAATGCAAAGTCAAAAAGCCACAATAGAAACACAGCAGTCAGTAGAATCTCTGAACTTGAGCAAAATTCCAAAAGCCACAATACAAGAACCAGGAACCTGTTAGCCTCTCGCTAACCATGAACTTGAAAACTAGAAGCCTCTGGGATTACCGGCCATGGAACACAGGAATTCTGCCAAGGCACAGCCACAGTCCCAAACGTTGCTTGATCTAAAGAGACACCCGGCAGGAGGCCTCTTAAACCAAAGAAGCTATTCTTTGAAACGCCCCTTGACTTTGACGTCTGGGCCTGTCTCTCCTGTAAACGATGTGACCTTCGTAGAAACTGGGAAACATTTCTGTCTCTAACTATCTGTTCTCTTCGGTCCTCATTAAAAAACCCAGGTGGAGAGATATCACGGCTAGCTTCCAAAACATTTTCCTCCAGCTGTTCAGTTTCACTTTCCTCGCCGCTGACCTCAGCATCAACAACAGATTCCACACTGTCAGGGAGAGCTTGCTCAGTTGGAAAAACTATCAGAGAATCCGGTTCACACAGATCAGGATCAGGCTGAACCCCAACACAGCTGTGGAAATCTCCCAAGACCCCGTCTATAGAGCAATGGACTTTGAAAGTCCTTGACATTATGAATATGGACCTTCTCACGCAAAGAATATCCCAACACAGTAATAGGACTAAAACAATTAATTGGACTAACTTCCTCCGATTCCAAGATGAAGAGGAAAAAAGGATAACTGAACGCAAACTAACCAATCAAAACCAAAAAATTAAACATCAAGAATATTAACAAAAATAAAATTAAAATATAAAATTAAAATAAAATTAAGATAAACATTAAATAAATCATAACACCAATACAAGATCATAAATATGAGGAATCATAAGCCAAAACATGTCTAGCTCAAAGATAATCACCATCAAACCAAACAAGGAAAAATTAAGAGTTCAACTGGACCTTATTATTATTATTATTATTATTATTATTATTATTATTATTAAACTTTATTTGTACCCCGCTAGCATCTCCCGAAGGACTCGATGCGGCTTACAAAGGCCAAGGCCTCAACCAACAACAACAAACAATAACAATGCAAGCAAATTAAAAACATAAGCAATAACACAACAAAACATTACACTATTACACAATAAAATCAGGGCCGGGCCAATGATGGGTACAGGTTAAAAGTGCTGGGTGTGTGAGGTGGTATGTTGGACCTCCCTCACTCTTCCAGACGAAAGGAAACCAGTCGCAAGACAAAGAATAGGACAAGTACCCCGGTACAACCTGAAAGTACCTCTTCTGAGGGAGAAAAATCCCACCACCCGTGCGAATGTGGAGTGAATGACACTGTACGTGTGTGAGAGAGAATGATATATCCCTCTCCCTCTTTTCCTCCCCCTTTTTTCCCCTACACTTTCCTATCCCTACCCTATTGTTCCACCACGTTTTATGTACCAAAAATGCACAGTAAAAAATATTTTTTTAAAAGAAAGGAAAAGTGCATTGGAAGATTGGGGGACGGGGGGACGGGACAAGATTCAAACTTCTCGGGGATCAATGCACTTGCTCAGGAGCGCCTCGGCTGTTCCCGGTCCAGCCTCTCCTGCCAGTCGCTGCATGGACTCGACGGCACACGAGGCCCCTTCATCTCTATAGTCCGATTTCTCCATGGGGCACGAAGGGAGGTGGGACAGGCCCATCCCCACTCCCCATCAACTATGACCAGGAGTGTGAACCAGGCAGCCCACTTGCAATTACCTTGATGATCTCCACCAGCTGGTCCACACCGCTGTCGCCGGGAAATATGGGCTGGCCCAGGAGCAGTTCCGCCAGGACACAGCCGGCCGACCAGATATCTAGTCAAGGTAGGGGTGGACGAAGAAGAAGAAGAAAGGGGGCCCTTCAGCATCAGTTGAATCTCTTGCGTGTGTGTGTGGGAGGGCAGCTCCCCAAGACCACAGGTCAAGTTCCATGGGGAGAGGAGGGGCAGCTCCTTGCAGCTGAGTGTGAGTGCGTGCATATGCCCTGCATGCAAAGGGCAGAGGGAGGGGGTGGCCTGGGTCTCACCGATGTTGGAGGTGTAATCGGTGGCTCCGAAGATGAGCTCGGGCGCCCGGTAGTAGCGAGAGCAGATGTAGGAGACGTTGGGCTCTCCCCGCACCAGCTGCTTTGCGCTGAGAGGGGAAAAGCAGAAGAATATATATTTTATTTTGCATGTAATATTACTTATAATATTAGAATACAATGGTGTAGTACAATATAGTAATATATAATACTGATACTGCACCGGGATTGTGGCGCAGCTGTCTGAGTGTCAGCTGCATTAAGATCACTCTGACCAAAAGGTCATGAGTTCGAAGCCAGCCTGGGTTGGAGTGGGTTTCCAACCAATTGTGTGTAGCCTGTTGTCGACCTTTGCAACCCAAAAGACAGTTGCATCTGTCAAGTAGGAAAATAAGGTACCACCTTAAAAGTGTGGGGAGGCTAAATTAACTGATTTATGAGGCCATAAAGAAGACTCCAGCAAAGCATTCCAGCGGGGAAGCATGCGGGGAATGCGGAAGTGCTTCATCAGCGTCGCAGATGGACGATGAAAGCGACAGCTCCCCTGGCGGCCAGAAAAAATTAAATAGCCTCTGTGTATGTCTGTATATGTTTGTATGTCAAAAATTGGCATTGAATGTTTGCCATATATGTGTACACTGTAATCCGCCCTGAGTCCCCTGAGGGGTGAGGAGAAGGGCGGAATAGAAAAGCTGTAAATAAATAAATAAACAAACAAATAATACTATGTCAATAATATAATATATTGCATGTATACATATATTATATTATTGACATAGTATTATTTGTTTATTTATGTCAATAATATAATATATTGTATGTATACATAGGGGCCCCCGGTGGCGCAGTGGGTTAAAGCACTGAGCTGCTGAGCTTGTTGATCGAAAGGTCGCAGGTTCGATTCCGGGGAGCGGCGTGAGCTTCCGCTGTCAGCCCTAGCTTCTGCCAACCTAGCAGTTTGAAAACATGCAAATGTGAGTAGATCAATAGGTACCGCTCCGGCGGGAAGGTAAAGGCGCTCCATGCAGTCATGCTGGCCACATGACCTTGGAGGTGTCTACGGAAAACGCCGGCTCTTCGGTTTAGAAATGGAGATGAGCACCACACCCCTGAGTCGGACACGACTAGACTTAATGTCAGGGGGAAACCTTTCCCTAACATTTCTCGTAAGCCGCTCTGAGTCCTTTTCAGGGTGAGAAGGGCGGCATAGAAATGTCATAAATAAGTAAATAAGAGGGCTCTCCATCACTCAGCCCAGAAGAACCAGGGTCCAAGGCCCCGCAAGACCCCTCGGCCTTCTTTTCCTGAGCTAAACACCCCGGTCAATCACTGACCGCCTTGTTGCTGGGCTGTGCAGGTCCAGAACAGAAGGGCACCCGGAGCCTGGGCCATGGCAGAAGCTCCGCTGTCCAGGCAGCAGGGGAGCGGACAAGCAGGACTGCAACCCAGATGGACAGATGGGTGCCAAAAGCCCTAACTCCCTGCTCCACAAAGCCTTCAATTCACAAAGTGCCCCCCCTCCTGCTCCCCCTCACCTGCCAAAGTCACAAAGCTTCAGTACGGCCGTGTCGGGGTCCACCAGGAGGTTCTGGGGCTTGATGTCCCGGTGACAGACACCTTGAGAATGGATGTAAGCAAGGCTGCGGAAAAGCTGGTACATGTACACCTGAGGAATGAGAGGGAGACGGGCATTCACGTGGTGGTCCACACCCGGTGGCCTCATCAGGTGCCTATATATTTGAAAGGCTCTTTTTACTGCAGTCGTTTTAGATACGTATTGGGAATATTGATATTCTCTGGACTGCATGGCCCTTCTTTTAGTAGTCGCCGTACATTTGCTTCTACAAGCATTTCGGTAGAATAGAAGAACATTGTCATTGTACAACGAAATTAAATGCTAGGGAAGCGCACATCACAAAACAACACTCCAAGCCCTCCAAGGGCACATAAATGCAAAGCTATGGAGTTCAATATAGTTACAAGCTCTAGGATTAAAGCTGTGAGTATTTACGTTTGAGTAAAATGGGAGGTCTGTCAAGGTAGGCACTCAATGAAATCATCAAATCCAAAGAGGCATTGCAAGCTGTTCGAATTGCAACCTGCCAGTGATTCCCAACTTTTCTCCCTCCTGGAACAGAAAACTGGGCGACTTGGAAGGCGCTGAACCCAAATCCCTGGGAGTCACCTGGGAAGGATCCCATGGGAGCATTGCAGCGCACCCAAATACCTGGGAGTCACTCTGGACCGTGCTCTGACCTACAAGAAGCACTGCCTGAACATCAAGCAAAAAGTGGGTGCTAGAAACAATATCATACGAAAGCTGACTGGCACAACCTGGGGATCACAACCAGACACAGTGAAGACATCTGCCCTTGCGCTTTGCTACTCTGCTGCTGAGTATGCATGCCCAGTGTGGAACACATCTCACCACACTAAAACAGTAGATGTGGCTCTTAATGAGACATGCCGCATTATCGGGGGGCGCCCTACACCACTGGAGAAATTACACTGTTTAGCCGGTATCACACCACCTGACATCCGCCGGGAAGTAGCAGCCAATAGTGAAAGGACCAAGGCAGAGACATCTCCAGCTCATCCCCTGTTTGGGTATCAGCCAGCACGTCAACGACTTAAATCTAGAAATAGTTTTATAAGATCTACAAAGACACTCGCTGGAACACCTCAGCAAGCGAGAGTCCAAAAGTGGCAGGCTCAAACCCAGCACAACCAAATGAGAGACCCCCCCCCCCCCCTGGGCACACAGAAAACTGGGCAACTTGGAAGGCGCTGAACAGACTGCGCTCTGGCCCCACGAGATGCAGAACCAACCTCAAGAAATGGGGCCACAAAGTGGAATCCTCGGCATGCGAGTGCGGAGAAGAGCAAACCACTGACCACCTGCTGCAATGCACCCTGAGCCCTGCCACATGATGCACAAGGGAGGCCTTCCTTGCGGCAACACCAGAGGCACTCCAAGGGGCCAGACACTGGTCAAAGGACATCAAATCAACTACCAAACTTGCAAACTTTGTGTTTTGTCTGTTTGTTTGTTTTGTTAAAAATGTAATACAAATGTCTGGTTGCTCCTGACATGATAAATAAATAAAATAAATCCCTCCTGGAAAGGCGGCCACGAAGGAACCGGAGAAATCCCTCAAGCAGAAAGATTCACAACGGACGACGAAGGGACAGGTACCTTCACGTAGATGACAGGGATGGTCTGCTTGGCTTTGGTGAAGTGCCGGGCCACGCGGTAGACGGTCTCCGGCACAAAGTCCAGGACTAAATTGAGGTAAACCTCGTCCTTCTGCAACAGGAAAAGGAGGATTACGATGGGACCTACAGACCAACTCCCATCGGACTTAAACAGCAACAGCGGGAACACGGAAGAGCATACATGGATAAGTGAGGAGCGCAGCTTCCATTTCAAGATCAAGACAAAAAAATACACTTTCAAGATGCAAACACGCAGCCTTCCTTTTCAACAGTAGACATTTGTTTGCCGTGGAAGTCCTGGCCACAGAAAGACCCAAGGTTGTGCTGTCAGCCCCAAGAATGGAATATTCCAGGAGGAAGACATTCGACTGCAACCACATCGTGTGACAGTGGACTCAGCTCCAGAGAGAAGAACGTGACCCACAACTGAGGACTAAGAATGCCCTCAAAACAGGCTATGGTAGGAACACCAGCATGGAGGCCAGCTAAGGGAAGCCCCTGCTCAGGACAGACCACAGCCCTGTGGCTACCCAAAGCCAGGTGTTTTCGACTCCAACTCCCACCATTCTGTGGCGGTCTGTGGCTTTGGGTAGGAGATATTTTTTGAAGCATGGGTATGCGAAACCATGGGCACCAGACCTATGGATCCATCATCTGCAGAACAGAGTTGCCCGGCTAGGCCGGTGCCCATTCCCAAAGGCCTGGCACAGTATTTTCTGGACAGACAGACTACACTGGACAAAGAAAGGGGTGCCTGAGAGTCCTAATGGGATGCCTGTCAACAAAGGAGTGCGTGTTCCCAGAAGTTGCTCCCAATCGGCTTACAAGAGGCCGAGCCCAAATACATCATAAAATATAACAACAGAATAAATAACTCATAACAAAGCAAAACAATACAATAATGACACGACACATTTTAAAAACCTGTGGCAGGGCCAAATGTAAGGATTAAAATTTTTAAAATGCTGGGCATGTTCAAGGGAAATAGGATGGATATTTTAGGGATAGGTGGGCATGCAGACAGTTCTAGTCTCTCGTAAAGTGGATTTAGGACGTATTGCTTAGGTTCACACCGCTGCAAGGTTCCATCAGGACCCAAGGATGACAAGGATTTAGGCCTCGCTTAGCCCAGAAACTCAGGGCTGCCTTGGGAAGTTGTTATCTCTTAACTTAATGGACACCAAGGCAGGTGAGGGGCTTCCAAGAGGCTGTTTTACACCTACACACCCACACCCTGCTGGCTCACCTTTTCCCCACTGGAGTAGAAGAAATACCGCAGGCGCACAATGTTGCAGTGGTCCAGCTTCCGCATGATCTGCAGCTCCCGGTTCTGCAGAGGAGAGAGACCAAGGTGAGGGGCGCAACCCGAGGAGGAGGGCAGGGGAGGGCAGGGCAGGCCGGGCGGGGCATCACCTTGAAGCGCTTGTCCTGCAGCACCTTCTTGATGGCCACCAGCTCCCCCGAGTCGGCCAGGCGGGCCTGGTACACCACCCCGAAGGAGCCGTTGCCGATGACCTTGATGTCCGAGTAGGAGACCTCCTGCGGGCGGTCCGGCCCTTGGCCCGGCGTGGCCACCACCGTGGTCACCTTCCCGCTATCCCCTGCAATAATAATAATAATAATAATAATAATAATAATAATAATAATAATAATAATATAACACTTTATTTGTACCCCCTATCATCTCCCCAAGGGACTCAGTGTGGCTTACATGAGGCCGAGCCCAAACACAACAACAACAACAACAACAATAATAATAACAACAACAACAACACTTTATTTGTACCCTGCTACCATATAATAACAACAACACTTTATTTGTACCCTGCTACCATCTCCCCAAACACAACAATACAAGCAATAATAACAACAATACAAGCAATTAAAAACATAAACAATAAAATACACAACATTATCAATAATGCAAGGAGGGAGGGAGGAAGAGGAGCGTCAAGGGCCTGGCCTCGGCCCCTTGCCTTGCCCTGCCTGGCCCATTCTCTCCAGGGTTAGACCGGGGTCTCTGGAAGAGGCCTCCCACTGCCGGCTGACCCAGTCCCAACTGGGCTTGCGTCCCTCCTGCTTTGCCCCTTGACCACCACCGGGGTGGGCCTGCACCCCCTTGCTGCCCCTCAGGAGGAGAGAGTGACCTCTGCATCTCCCTCTGAGGCTCGGCCTAGGACTGAACTTCCCACTCAAGGAGGGGGGCACCGAGATGCCTCCCTCACCTTTGAAAATGGCATTCAAAGCACCCCCAACAGATGGCCATCCAGGGGGAGCCTGTGTGTCCCACTCCCTTGACCACTGGGGTGCCCCTCTGCACCTCATGAGGTGTGTGTGTGGGGGGGAGGTCCAGGAGTACTGAGATGCCTTGCTCACCTTTGCCCCCACCCACCCCTACCCCCACGTGTGAAAATGGCATTCAAAGCACCCCCAACAGATGGCCATCCAGTGGGAGCCCGTGTGCCCCGCTCCCTTGACCACTTGGGTGCCCCCTCGGCACCTCCTTCTGAGGTGTCTGTGTGGGGGGGTCTTGACCTAGGTCTGCACCGAGATGCCTCCCTCACCTTTGCCCCCACCCCCCCCCACCCCCCCTACCCCCACGTGTGAAAATGGCATTCAAAGCACCCCCAACAGATGGCCATCCAGTGGGAGCCCGTGTGCCCCGCTCCCTTGACCACTTGGGTGCCCCCTCGGCACCTCCTTCTGAGGTGTCTGTGTGGGGGGGAGTCTTGACCTAGGTCTGCTCACCTTTGCCCCAACCCACCCCCACCTGGGCTGCCCCCTTGACCACTGGGGTGCTTCTCTGAGGTGTCGGGGGGGGGGGGAGTCTTGGCCTAGGGCTGCTCACCTTTGCCCCACCCACCCCCACCTGGGCTGCCCCCTTGACCCTCTGAGGTGTGTGTGTCTGTGTGGGGGGGGAGGGTCTTAGCCTAGGTCTGCACTGAGATGCCTTGCTCAACTTTACCACCACCCACCCCTACCCCCACCCCCAGCCCCCATTCAAAGCACCCCCAACAGATGGCCACCCAGGAGGAGCCTGTGTGCTCCACTCCCTTGACCACTGACCCTCTGAGGTGTGTGTGTGTGGGGGGGGGGGGGTCTTGGCCTAGGTCTGCACTGAGATGCCTTGCTCACCTTTGCCCCCACCCACCCCTACCCCCACCCCGCATTCAAAGCACCCCCAACAGATGGCCATCCAGGAGGAGCCCATGTGTGCTCCACTGCACATCAACCTATGACTCAGGTGTGTGTGTGGGGGGGGGGGTTCTTGGCCTCGGTCTGCCCTGAGATGCCTTGCTCACCTTTGCCCCCACCCACCCCTACCCCTACCCCCACCTGGGCCACGCCCCTCCCGTCTGCGGTTGCCAGGCAACCAGATCCTCCTCCTCCTCCCTTTCCCTTACTTAGTGGGCCACCCCCCTAACCCCTAACCTGAACCCGGATTCTCAAGACCCCCCCCCCCATCCAATGACCTCCCCGTGACGTCACCGCGAGAGGCCCAGGCCCAGGTATCTCTCATAATACTCCTCATCATAATAGGAATAGAGACAGAAGGGCGAGGGGGGGGGTGCGACCCTGGAGAGCCCCTTTCCCCCTCTCCGCGCAGACTCACTTCCGAGCTTGAGTCCCGGGAAGGAGCCCCCCGACGACAAGCTCCCTCCCCCTCCCCCGCCCCCTCCCCCTCCAGGCCCGGGCCCGGCGGCCTTGCTCCCTGCGGGGGGCGGCAGCGGGGGAGGGGCGGAGGAGGAGGGGGCGGCGGAGGTGTTGGGGGCGGCGGCGGCGGGGGGCGCGTTGGGGTCGGCGAAGGAGCTGGTTCTAGGCCGCGAGGAGGAGCCGCCCGCGCTGCCGCTGCTCATGGCGAGGCCGGGACGCGGAGGAGGAGGAGGAGGAGAAGCCTGGCTCCCTATCTAGAGAGAGAGGCCGTCGCCACCACCGCCACCGCCACCGCCGCGAGGCCCCACGGGAAATGGAGTCCCCTCCACTCTCTCGCTCGCTCGCTCGCCCCAGTGCCGGCAGCCGGACTCCGCTTCCCAGAAGGCGCCGCGACGCCCTCCCGAGGCGCCGCAAAGCACGACGGGAGCGAAATGAAACTACACTTCCCAGACTGCGCCGCGCGGCAACGACCACCACACTGACCGACCTACCTTCGGGGGCGCGGGCGGGCCCCCCTCCTGTTCCTCCTCCTGTTCCTCCTCCCGCTCCGCCTCGGCGCTGCTCCATGTTGTCGGCGGCGGAGGGCCCTCCCGGGCGGAAGGCAGGCGAGCTCGGGCTGCGGCCTGGGCGCCGCGGGGCACGACGGGAGGCCGCGGGCCCTGCTCTGCTGCTCCCGGCATGCCCCGCGCCCAGCCTTAAGCAGGAGGAGGAAAGAGTCTCGTGACCCGGCGGCGGAAACTACGTCTCCCGTCGTGCCTCGCGGCAGGAAGCGAGAGGGTTGGGACGCCCCCCCCCCCCGAAAGGGCTGCTGGGAGGTGTAGTCCCGCGGGAGACAGAGGGAGGAGACTCCGCTCCCATCAGCCTCTTGGCTGCTCCCGGCCCAAAGGCAGGCAGGAAGGAAGGAAGGAAGGAAGGAAGGAGGTTCTTGTGGAGTTTTCCGGCCTACATGGCCATGTTCTAGAGACATTCTCTCCTGACATTTCGCCTGCATCTGTGGCAAGATCCTCAGAGGGAGTGAGGTCTGTTGGAACTAGGAAAAAGGGTTTATATATCTGTGGAATGACCAGGGTGGGACAAAGGACTCTTGTCTGCTGGAGCTAGGTGTGAATGTTTCAACTGACCACCTTGATTAGCATACAATGGGCTGACTGTGCCTGGAGCAAACTTTTGTTGAGAGGTGATTAGATGTCCTTGTGTTGTAGTTTTTTCCGGGCTACATGGCCATGTTCTAGAGGCATTCTCTCCTGACGTTTCGCCTGCATCTGTGGCAAACCTCCTCAAAGTTAGTGAGGTCTCTTGGAAATAGGAAAATTGGGTTTATATATCTGTGGAAAGACCAGGATGGGACAAAGGACTCTTGTCTGCTGGAGCTAGCTGGGAATATTTCAACTGACCACCTGGCAGTGCCTGGGGAAATCTTTTGTTGAGAGGTGATTAGATGCTGGACCACTCTCACAATCACCACTGTTTACAAAAAACAGAAGAAGGTTGAATCTGTATTGTCAAAGGCTTTCATGGCCGGAATAACTGGGTTCTTGTGGGTTTTTCCGGGCTGTATGGCCATATTCTAGAGGCATTCTCTCCTGACGTTTCGCCTGCATCTATGGCAAGCATCCTCAGAGGTAGTGAGGTCTGTTGGAAGTAGGAAAATAGGTTTATATATCTGTGGAATGGCTGGGGTGGGGCAAGGAGCTCTTCCCTGCTGGAGCTAGGTGTGAATGTTTCAGCTGACCACCTTCATTAGCATTTGAAGGCCTGCCTGAGCCTGGGAAAATCCCCTGTTGAGAGGTGTTAAGATGTGCCTGGTTGTTTCCTCTCTCACTAGCTCCAGCAGACAAGAGTCCTTTGTCTCACCCTTTCCACAGATATATAAACCCATTTTTCCTACTTCCAACAGACCTCACCACCTCTGAGGATGCTTGCCATAGATGCAGGCGAAACGTCAGGAGAAAAATTGCCTCCAGAACATGGCCATATAGCCCGGAAAAACCTACAACAACCCAATCTATTGGAATATGGATTAATGGACAATGAGAGTGGATGCTGATTCTATTGATGAGATGTGATGGATTGTTATTTTGTTGTATTGTTGGATTGATGTTTTGATGTGAATTAATTGATATTGCTGTTTTAATTGACTAATGATCTGTTTTGTACTGTTGAATTGGTTGTTAACCGCTCTGAGTCGCCTGAGGGCTGAGAAGAGCGGTATACCAGGGAAGTCAATCAATCAGTCGATCAATCAATAATAAGTAGGTTATTGTGGGTTTTTCCGGGCTATACGGCCATGTTCTAGACTAGAAGCATTTTCTCCTGACGTTTCGCCTGCATCTATCAGGGTGGGACAAAGGACTCTTCTCTGCTGGAGCTGGGTGTGAAGCCACCTTCATTAGCATTTGATGGCCTGGCTGAGCCTGGGAAATTCTCTTGCTGAGAGGTGTTAAGATGTGCCTGGTTGTTTCCTCTCTGTTATTTTGCTGTTGTTTTGTTCAATGAACAAAATCTGGCTACCAGTATTACAAAACTCTAAACTTACAACAGCAAAACAACAGAGAGGAAACAATCTGGGACATCTAATCACCTCTCAACAAAAGATTGCCCCAGGCACTGCCAGGCCATCAAATGCTAATCAAGGTGGTCAGTTGAAACACTCGCACCTAGCTCCAGCAGACAAGAGTCCTTTGTCCCACCCTGGTCATTCCACAGATATATAAACCCTTTCCTAGTTCCAACAGACCTCACTACCTCTGAGGATGCTTGCCATAGATGCAGGCGAAACGTCAGGAGAGAATGCCTCTAGAACATGGCCATATAGCCCGAAAAAACCCACAAGAACCTAGTGATTCCAGCCATGAAAGCCTTCGACAATACAAGGAAGGAAGTATTAGTATCCCTATTGGAATACGGATTAATGGACAACGAGAGTGGATGTTGATTCTGTTTATGAGACGCGATGGATTGCTATTTTGTTGTATTGTTGTATTGATGTTTTGATGCCAATTAACTGATATTGCTGTTTTAATTGACTAATGATCTGTTTTGTGCTGCTGAATTGGTTGTTAACCGCTCTGAGTCGCCTGAGGGCTGAGAAGAGCGGTATACAAGGGAAGTAAATAAATCAATAATAAATAAATAATAAGTAGGTTGTTGTAGGTTTTTTTCCGGGCTGTATGGCCATGTTCTGGAGCCCCCGGTGGCGCAGTGGGTTAAAGCACTGAGCTGCTGAGCTTGTTGACCAAAAGGTCGCATGTTCGATTCCAGGGAGCGGCGTGAGCTTCCACTGTCAGCCCTAGCTTCTGCCAACCTAGCAGTTCGAAAACATGCAAATGTGAGTAGATCAATAGGTACCGTTCCGGCGGGAAGGTAACGGCGCTCCATGCAGTCATGCCGGCCACATGACCTTGGAGGTGTCTACGGACAACGCTGGCTCTTCGGCTTAGAAATGGAGATGAGCACCACACCCCAGAGTCAGACATGAGTGGACTACCTTTACCTTTACGTGAGAGGAAGCCACAGGGAGGAGGGAGCAAGCTTCCTTTCTGCTTCCCTGGAGACTAGGACGCAATGGAGCCATGGCTTCAAACTACAAGAGAGGAGATTCCATCTGAACATGAGGAAGAACTTCCTGACTGTGAGAGCCGTTCAGCAGTGGAACTCTCTGCCCCGGAGGGAGGTGGTGAGGCTCCTTCTTTGGAGGCTTTTAAACAGAGGCTGGATGGCCATCTGTCAGGGGTGATTTGAATGCAATATTCCTGCTTCTTGGCAGAATGGGGTTGGACTGGATGATGGCCCAGGAGGTCTCTTCCCACTCTAGGATTCTAGGATTCTATGATTCATAATGCGAAGGGTTCTTTATTCTGGGAAGGCACACTGGAACAACCACGTTTTCAAGCTCCTCCTGAAGACTGCCAGAGATGGGGCATGCCTGATGTTCTTAGGAAGTGAGTTCCAGAGCTGAGGGGCCACCACCAAGAAGGCCCTCTCGTCCCCACCAATTGTGCTTGCAATGCAGGTGGGAGCGTGAGTAGGGCCTCTCCAGATGATCGAAGAGATCATGTGGGTTTGTAAACAGAATTGTGGTCACACAGGTAGGCTGTATACCGAGGGTTCCGTTCTCATGTGTATTTTTCTAAAACCACAAAATTAAAAACTTGGCATTGCCCTCAATGTCTTTTGACCAGAAGTTGTCCACTTGGAATGCCTCTGGGGTGCCTGTGAGAAGAAGGCCTGCTGTTGGGTATGTGGCAGGGTCCACACTGCATTGCAGGAGGTGATGGTTTGCTCTTCTCCACACACGCGTGTATCGGATTCCACTTTGTGGGCCCATTTCCTAACATTGCCTCTGCACCTCGTGGTGCCCGAGCGCAGCATTCCAAGTCGCCCGGCCTTCTGCGTGCTCAGGAGAGAGTCTCTCATCTGATTTCAGCTATTAATTGAGGCCCTGGGTTTGTTGTTGTTTATTCATTCAGTTGCTTCCGACTCTTCCTAATCTCCTGGACCACCACCCCCAGCTCCTTCAAGGTCAATCCAGTCACTTCAAAACTTTGTGTTTTGTCTGTTTGCTTTAACTATACGGATCTTCGTTGCCAGTGTGATGTCTCTACTCTTCACTATTTTGTCGAGATGGGTCCTTGCTCTCCTTCCCAAGAAGTAAGCATCTCCTGATTTCCTGGCTGCACTCTGCGTCTGCACTCATCTTTGCACCTAGAAATACAAACCCTATCCCTGCCTCCAACTTTTCTCCCTCTATTTGCCAGTTATCAATGAGTTTGGTTGCCATCATCTTGTGTTTTTTGATGTTTCACCACAACCCAGCTTTTGCACTATCTTCTTTCACCTTTGTTCTAAGGCTCCTCAGCTCCTCCTCACTTTCAGCCATCAAAGTGGTGTCATTTGCATATCTGGGTTTTAGCCTGCCACTTTTGGACTCTCGTTTGCTGCAAGAATCTCTGTAAATCTTAAGAAGCTCTTTCTTGATTTAAGGCATTGTCATGCTGGCTGATGCCCAAGCAGAGGGTGGCCTGGAGATGTCACTGCCTTGGTCCTTGCGTAATTGGCTGCTACTTCCCGACAGATGTCAGGTGGTGCAATACCAGCGGCGTAGGGCGCAGGCAGCCTGTGATAATGTGGCATGTCTCATGAAGAGGGTCAGGTATCTCAGTTCCAAGCTGTGTGGCTCTGGAGAAATCTCCTATGAAGGATCACGCAGAGAATCACAAGTGGAGTAGACATCAACACGTTTATTGTTCAGAATGCAAGAGCTTCAACTATTGGCCTCCTATATAGTACTAACTACCATACTATAAATCATTCATTCAGGTATCCTGGTGCCGTTACCATTTCAAAGCCCTCCCATATCAAAGCAAGGTTCTCCACTCACCTTTGGGCAATTGAGTGTCCTGCATTTCCTTTTGGCCCAATGTCCCATGGCCATGTGGTTTGTGTCAGTTGTATGGCATGAGCTGGAGGTCATGAGAGAGAGCCACATCCACTGTTTTAGCGTGGTGATATGTGTTCCGCTCGTATGCGTACTCAGCAGCAGAGTAGCAGATGTCTTCTAGAATCCTAGAGTTGGAAGAGACCTCCATGTATATTAATATGTATCTGCTGTAAAACAATGTATAACAAATGTATTAAACCATGATAAAATAACAAAAAATATTTACAAAAAAAACATACATCAATTACGTCTTCTAATAAAAACGTTGTCCAATCTCATCATCCAGTCATTCCAATTCCTATGTCATTTACCTTGCATTTTCAAACGCTTGTTCAAACAACCAAGTCTTGACTCTTTTCCGAAATGTTAAGATCTAATGTCCCCAGGAAGGGCGTTCTATATCCGAGGGGCCACCACAGAGGAGGCCCTGTCTCTCATGTTTGTGATGCAGGCAGGATCGAAGGCAAGGCCTCCCCGGACGATCTTAAAGTTATGATAATGTATTCCCGTCCTCCCCTTTCAGCTCAAGGCAGGTGCACCACAGTTCCTCTGTAAAACACAGCTAAGAGAAGCATATATGAAGGCATCAACCTATGAAGACCAGGATTGTGGCACAGCTGGATGAGTGTCAGCTGCATTAAGATCACTCTGACCAAAGGTCATGAGTTTGAAGCCAGCCTGGGTTGGAGTGGGTTTCCAACCAATTGTGTAGCCTGTTGTGGAGTTTGTGCACACCATGGAAGGGTTGGGATAGGCCTTTGTCCCCGGTTCTCATGCGAAAGAGATGAAAGCCAAACCCATTGGGTGATCTCTCGGTAAAGAAGTGCATCAAAAGAAGCTTTTAAGGGGACACAGTGGTGCAGCTCAAATCCACGGGATGGTGTGAGCTCCCACTGCCAGCCCCAGCTCCTGCCAACCTAGCAGTTCGAAAACATGCAAATGTGAGTAGATCAATAGGTACCTCCTTGGCAGGAAGGTAAACAGTACCACATGACCAGGAGGTGTCTATGGTCAGGGCAGGCTCTTTGGCTTACTTACTTAGGCGATATCTCATTCTCCGAGTAGGATAATCCTTCAAGATCAGTGTACTGGTGGTGGGCCCGTAGGTGACTGTGGAGCCAGATTAAGGTATCCCAAGCAGTTTGTCCCAAATGCACTTTACGAGAGAGTTAGAATTGTCTGCACACCCACTTATCCCTAAAATATCCATCCTATTTCACCTAGACATGCCCAGAATTTTTTAAAAATTTTAACCATTACATTTGGCGTCGTGATTTTTGTTATTGTTTTGCTTTGCTATGAGTTATTTATTGTTGTATTGTTGTTGTTGTGTTTTTTGTTTCTGATGTATTTGGGCTCAGCCTCTTGTAAGCCGCACCAAGTCCTGCTGGAGATGATAGCAGGGTATAAATAAAGGTTGTTTATTTTTATTATTATTATTATTATTATTATTATTATTATCATTATTATTATTCTTGACCTGCATCTTCTGCAGTGAGGGCATTGGTTTCCAGGTGGAAGGCAATCCCGGTCGGGGTTGGCTTGACGCGCCTTCCTCTTGGCATGTTTCTCCCTTTCACCCTCCATTCGTGCCTCTTTGAATTCTGCAGCACTGCTGGTCACAGCTGACCTCCAGTTAGAGCGCTCAAGGGCCAGGGCTTCCCCGTTCTCGGTGTCTATTCCAGAGTTTTTAAGCCCATCTTTCAATCTCTTTTCCTGCCCACCAACATTTCGTTTTCTGTTCCTGAGTTCGGAGTAGAGCAACTGCTTTGGGAGACGGTGGTCAGGCATCCGGACCATGTGGCCGGTCCAGCGGAGTTGATGGCGGAGGAGCATTGCTTCAATGCTGGTGGTCTTTGCTTCTTCCAGCACACTGACATTTCCCCGCTTGTCTTCCCAAGAGATTTGCAGGATTTTTCAGAGGCAGCGCTGATGGAATCGTTCCAGGAGTTGCATGTGACGTCTGTAGACAGTCCACATCTCACAGGCATATAGCAGGGTTGGGAGGACAATAGCTTTATAAAAAAGCACCTTGGTATCCCTACGGATGTCCCGGTCCTCAAACACTCTCTGCTTCATTCAGAAAAAGCTGCACTCACAAAGCTCAGACAATGTTGTATTTCAGTCTTAATGTTGACGTCTGTAGACAGTCCACGTCTCGCAGGTGTATAGCAGGGTTGGGAGGACAATAGCTTTATCAACAAGTGCCTTGGCCTCCCTATGGATGTCCCGGTCCTCAAACACTCTCTCCTTCATTAAAAAAAAAAGCTGCACTCGCAGAGCTCAGACAATGTATTTCAGTCTTAATGTTGACGTCTGTAGACAGTCCACGTCTCGCAGGTGTATAGCTGGGTTGGGAGGACAATAGCTTTATCAACAAGTGCCTTGGCCTCCCTATGGATGTCCCAGTCCTCAAACACTCTCTGCTTCATTCGGGAAAAAAAGCTGCACTCACAAAGCTCAGGCAATGTTGTATTTCAGTCTCAGTGTTGATGTCTGTAGACAGTACGTCTCGCAGGCGTATAGCAGGGTTGGGAGGACAATAGCTTTATAAACAAGCCCCTTGGTATCCCTACGGATGTCCCGGTCCTCAAACACTCTCTGCTTCATTCGGGAAAAAAGCTGCACTCGCAGAGCTCAGGCAGTGTTGTATTTCAGTGGCTTAGAAATGGAGATGAGCAACACACCTGAGCTGGAGATGGAGGGAAAGCCTTTACCTTTACCTGTGTGTCATTGTTTTGAGGCATTGAATGTCTGCCTTGTGTCTCTGTCTATGCTGCAATCCATTCTGAGTCTTCTCAGGGAGATAGTGCGGAATGTAAACAAAGATATAGAATGGGGGATGCCTGGCTCGAGAGCAGTACGTGTGAAAAAGATCTTGGAGTCCTCGTGGACAACAAGTTAAACATGAGCCAACAATGTGATGTGGCGGCAAAAAAAGCCAATGGGATTTTGGCCTGCATCAATAGGAGCAGTGTCTAGATCTAGGGAAGTAATGCTACCCCTCTATTCCGATTTGGTTAGACCACACCTGGAATATTGTGTCCAATTCTGGGCACCACAATTCAAGAGAGATATTGACAAGCTGGAATGTGTCCAGAGGAGGGCGACTAAAATGATCAAGGGTCTGGAGAACAAGCCCTATGAGGAGCGGCTTAAAGAGCTGGGCATGTTTAGCCTGAAGAAGAGAAAGCTGAGAGGAGACATGATGAGCCATGTATAAATATGTGAGAGGAAGCCACTGGGAGGAGGGAGCAGATCAAAGGTCTGAAGAACAAGCCCTATGAGGAGTGGCTTAAGGAGCTGGGCATGTTTAGCCTGAAGAAGAAAAGGCTGAGAGGAGATATGATAGCCATGTATAAATATGTGAAGGTGTCCAGAGGAGGGCAGCTAAAATGATCAAGGGTCTGGAGAACAAGCCCTATGAGGAGTGGCTTAAAGAGCTGGGCATGTTTAGCCTGAAGAAGAAAAGGCTGAGAGGAGATATGGGAGCCATGTATAAATATGTGAGAGGAAGCCACAGGGAGGAGGGAGCAAGCTTGCTTTCTGCTTCCCTGGAGACTAGGATGCAAAGGAACAATGGCTTCAAACTACAAGAGAGGAGATTCCATCTGAACATGAGGAAGAACTTCCTGACTGTGAGAGCCGTTCAGCAGTGGAACTCTCTGCCCCGGAGTGTGGTGGAGGCTCCTTCTTTGGAAGCTTTTAAACAGAGGCTGGATGGCCATCTGTCAGGGGTGATTTGAATGCAATATTCCTGCTTCTTGGCAGAATGGGGTTGGACTGGATGATGGCGCAGGAGGTCTCTTCCAACTCTTTGATTCTAGGATTCTATGTTCTTGTAGTTACAGAGATCCATTTCCCCCTCCAGAAATGCAGCGCAGTGCATTTCAAATGCTGGCTTTGCACTCCTAGAGCCCAGGGTTCAAATCATTGCTGGGGAAACCCTGAGCGAGTCTCTCTCTCTCGGCCTCAGAGGGAGGCAACAAACTTCCTCCAAAGGAGCCTTGCCAGGAAAAAGTCCCGAGGAAAGCGTTGCCCGGAAGGCAGAGGAGTTGTCCTGATCTCAGTTGGCCGCAAGGGGGCATGTGGGGCCTTCCTTCCTTTCTTCCTTCTTGCCTGCAGCCTGCCATGAAGCCCACTCCTCAAAAGAGCCAGAGAGGCTGGAAGACCCTGCTCCCCACCAAGCCCTGCCCTCCAGAGATTTTGTGACTACAACTCCCATCGCAGCAACAGCTTGCATTTGCTTGTGCCGGAGCGGGGATCACAGATCTTGCAGCCCACACGGCTGGCAGTCGGGATATTAGGATGTTTAAACACCTATTAGAAGCATTTAAAGCATCCCTGAGAAAACATTGACCTTCAATCCAGGCATTTTCTAGGACTTATAGTTGCGTTGCGTGCCATGGGGCTTTGGGTGACAAATCCTGAGCCTTTGCAGCAGGCA